AACTTAGCCTTAGAAGCGATGCATTAGTAATGAGCTTGAAGCTCTTTAAGTACATCCAAAAAGGGTAAGGAATAGTTGGGGAAGGGAATCAGAGGCAATCCCTAGGGATTGGGGGTAATCCCAAGGCAATCTCCAATTGGTGGGTTGGAGATTGCTTGGAGATTACATTTGGGTTTGGTTGAGATGTAGGTGTACACCCAACCAAACACAATGTGCAAACTAGACTACTCTAGGATATAGAAAATACAAAGTACAAAGTGTGAGATTGAAGGCTAACACGAACACCCCCCTATAGGCGTCAATCGAACTCAGGGCAGAGAGGGTGGAGCACAGAGCCCCATGGCGCCAAGGAGACGGTGGTGGGGAACTTTCCCAAGGGGCTTGGTGAACAGATCAGCCAGGTTGCAGTCAGATGCAACGTACTCCACTTTCAACTGCTCCTGCTGGACAAGGTCACGGATGAAGAAGTGCCGGAGTTCAATATGCTTGGTGCGGGTGTGATACACAGGGTCTTGAGAGATGTGGATGGTACTCTGGTTGTCACACCAGAGGGTGGGGCGGACTGTGGGAAACCAAGCTCCTGGAGTAGGAAGGTGAGCCAACGGGCCTCCTGAGCAGCCATGGTGCCTGCGTAGAGCTCTGCCTCACATGAGGAGAGGGAGACTGCAGACGATCTGGTGGAGCGCCAACTGACAATTCCGCTCCCAAGGGTGAAGCAGTACCCCTGAGAGGAGCGTCGGTCGGTCTGGTCATCAACCCAGGAGGAGTCGGTGTAACCTTCCAGGCGAGGAGGGGAGAGCCCACCGAGTGTGAGAACGTGAGACTTGGTGCCCTGAAGATAGCGCAGCACCCGCTTCGCCGCCTTCCAGTGAAGATCAGTGAAGCGTCCAGGGGCCACGTAGCGAGAGAGGACACTGACAGGATAGGCCAAGTCCGGCCGGGTGCACATCATGGCGTACATGAGGGACCCAACAAGCTCCGGGTATGGCTCAGAGCAGGCCTCTGGTGTGGGTACAGCTGGAGCTGTGAGGAGGTGTTGCAGCGGCAGCGGGGTGGCAACAGGTGTGCACAGCTCCATCTCAAACCGCTTGAGCACATTGTCGATGTAGAACTCCTGGGAGAGTGAAATGGTGCGAGCCTGGCGATCACGAGTGATCTCCATCCCCAGGTAGTGCTTGAGGTCACCGAGGTCTTTCATCTGGAGGGCCTTGCTCAGGGCTGCCTGGACAGAGGTCATCTGGGCCGAGTCCTTGGCAACGAGGATGAAGTCATCCACGTAGACCAGGATGTAGAATGGCTCAGAATGACGGCGGATGAAGAGAGTCGGGTCAGCAGATGAAGGGTGGAAGTCCAGGGAGAGGAGGACTTCTTTCACCTTGTTGTGCCATTCGCGAGGGGCTTGCTTAAGGCCGCAGACGGGGCGATTCAGCTTCCAGACAGTGTTGGGAGGGAATTCTCCTGGGAAGCCTTCAGGTCTGTCCATGAACACTGTTTCCTTGAGACGTCCTTGTAGGAAGGCGGATGAGGCATCCATGGATTTGATCTCAAAATCTTCTCGAGCTGCGACATCCATGAGCGTACGAATGGTGGGAGGTTTGGATGTGGGGGAGAAGGTTAGGAAAAAGTCACGATACTGCTGCTGGGTGAAGCCCTTGGCTACGTAACGCGCTTTGAACACCGGGGCCTCGTCTGGGAGCTGTTTTACACGGAACAACCACTTGTCCCCGACGATGTTGACTCCTGGAGGTGGAGTCTCGTCGTCGAAGGAGTGGTTGCGGGTGAATGCTTCAATCTCCGCTTCCATGGCAGCACGCCATTCGGCAGCATGAGGGCCTGAGAGAGCCTCTTGGACGGTGAGAGGGATAGGGATGGTCGGGTTTTCCGTGAAGTTGAGTGAGGGTGATTCAGTGATGTCAGGGAAGATGTGCGAGAGCTGGGGAATGACTGCGTGAAGATCATAAAGCTCCTCATGCCTATCTTCCAGAAGGGTAGAGGGCACATCCCCCCCCGGCAGGAGGAGTCGAAGTGATCGTGGAGCACCGAATAGCCAGGGCCAGAGGAGGAGCAGGGCCGTGCGAGCGAGTGCCATGGGCTACCGGAGAGGAGGGCGGAGCAGGCGGTGTCTGAGGGATTGACTTAGGAGGCTTGGGCGGGGGAATTGGCCGCCGCTTGTACGTGATCAGTTCGGGCGGCTGTGGAGGAGCGGGTGCCTGGGAGGAAGGGGGGACTGGGGGAGGAGGTGGGGCCGGAGGGTGCGACAGCCGATGGTATGTGATTGGTGCGCTCGGAGGTGGCGGCGCAGATTGCAGGGCGGCAGGTGAGGGGGAGGGAGGAGCAGCTGCCGAAGACACTGGTGAGGGCGGGTCAGAGTCCTCGGAGGGGGACGGTGCGGTGGCAGGAGGGGTAGGAGGTGAAGGGGCCGGAGCAGGCGGGAGGTCAGGAGGCGCATCAAAGTCTGCCCACACGAGGGAGGGTGGATCAGAGAGAGGGTCCCGTCCCGAAGTGGAGTAGAATGGGCGGGTCTCATCAAAGACAACGTCGCGGCTCCGGACCAACTGTTGAGTGGAGGGGTTGAGGAAGAGGTAGTCAGGCGAGTCGGCGTTGTGCCCGAGGTAGATGCACGTCTGGGTCTTGGGACCGAGCTTGCCGCCGTGCTGCCGTCGAGCCTGAGGGTTGAGGAGGACATAGGCGGTGCAACCCCAAACGCGAAGAGAGCGAGCAGTGGGCGTTTTCCCGAGCCAGAGTGTGGTTGGAGTGGTGTCAGGAAGATGCGGGTGGGCGGCGTGGTAGAGAGCATACCCCCAGAGAGAGTGCGGAGAGTTGGAGTGGCCGAGGAGGCACCGAGTGATCTGCACCAGGGTGTGGTTGCGGCTCTCAGCTATGCCGTTCTGCTGCGGGCTGTCAGGGAGGGTGAAGTTTTGCTGGATGCCTTCTGAGGAGCTGAAGGCTTTGAGCTTGTCGTTGCAAAACTCACCACCACCATCCGAGTGAAGGCGCTTGACTTTGCGGTCAAAGGTGGTCTGTGCCTGTTTAACCCACGCCATGAGGACCTCTGGAACCGCAGCCTTAGTGTGGAGGAGGTGAACAGAGACGTAGCGAGAGTGGTCATCGACGATAACAAGGAAGTAGCGATAACCACCTCGTGCGGGAACAGGCAGGGCCCCAGGCGTCCAGGTGTACCAAGTCCAGTGGTGCTGCTGCGACAGAGGGTGAGGCCGGGTGGGGCTGTTGACGCAGTTTGCTCTTGGTGCAGTCAAGGCACGTGGGAGCGGGGGAGTCTGGTGGTGGAGGAAGTGAGGCTGGCAGGCCGAGTAGAAGTTACTTGGAGGCCATGTCAGCAAGTGTGCGAAAGTTTGGGTGCCCGAGCCGATGGTGGTAGAGTATGGTCGGGTTGGAGAAACTGCGGCACGAGCATGGTGAGGTAGTTGCCTCCGCTTGGGTGGTTGACACCTGTGGGATGGGTACTTGCAGCGTGTAAAGGCCGCTGCTGTTGAGGGTGAAACGAGTCAAGACCTTGTTGGTGAGTGGGTCGAGGATATCACCATAGTTCTCGTTCTCCCAGAAGATGGTGCGTTGCCTAGCTTCCTGAATTTCCGTTTGGGCCACGAGATTGTGGCGTAGTGAAGGCACGCACATGCCAGTGACAGTGCCGGATGGGAAGGCGGGGCACGGGACTGTGGATGTACCTTTGGCAAGAGTGGTGAAGCTTGAGTCAGCTCCCAAGAGAGGAATGGGTGTTGCGTAGGGTTTGAAGGAGAGTGTTTCCTTGAGCACAGTGTGAGTGGCGTCGCTGTCGAGTGTGAACTCTATGTATTGTGGTGCTTGTGATGAGCCGAGGTACTCGGAGGAAGCTTCATTAATCATGGCAGTGCCAGGGAGCAACAGGTTGATACGCACATCAGCAGGAGCACTATCACTAGCACTAGCCGAAGCGGGGTCCTGGACCTCAACCAGGTTGGCCTTACGCGCACGCATCCAGTTCGGTGGCCTCTTGTCTATGCCGTGGATGGCGTACCATTCGTCGTCCTTCTTCTTGAAGCACGTAGCAAGGGGGTGGTTAGTGCCACCACACACTTGTCCCTTGCGGTTGCCATACTTGACGACGTAGGTGCACGGTGGGAAGCGGTTGCGCTGGAAGGGCGCCGAGGCAAGGGCCGCTGCGACACTTGCTTGAGGCATGGGAGCACGGATGGCGTAGGCCTTGGCTTGAGCCGTGGAGTCTTTCTCGGCAGAGAGGAGTGCGGTGGAGACCTTGGCAAAAGTGAGGTCTTCCGCATTCAGCGTGAGGAGCATCTTCCTTGTGATTTCGTAGGCTGTGGTGAGGCCAACAAGAAGAGCTGCTGCAGGGGCCTGTTCGGGGAAGACTATACCCAGCTCCTTGAGTTCGCCATGAATGGTCTGAACCCTGGCAATGTAGTCGGCCATTCCCGAGCAATCCTCAAGGCGGACCTGGAACATGCTGGGGATGAGGATGGCAACTCCGACTGCAGTCTTGTTCATGAACCGATCCTCGAGGTACTTCCAGATGGCGTTGGAGGTAGGGTAGTTATGGAACGTGTTGACAAGTTCTGGAGGGGTGGAGGCGATGAAGACGCTGATAATAGCAGCATCGGCCTTCTCCCACTTCCGGTACTTCTCAACGGCTTCCTCATAAGCCCTTGTGTCAGCCTCACTAGCGGAGTCGGTCGGCTCACGAGGGAGAAGGGGCTGTTTTCCCTTGCCACGGTAGAGGAGGACATCCGACGGACCCCAACTAGCGAAAATCGTCAATGTCGACCGCGTCGGGATGCCTCGTAGAAGGATTTTCTATGCCGCCAAAACTAGGTAAAATCGGCCGACTTCCGTAGATCTAACCCTAATCCCACACACCCCCCCACACACCACCCTCAGCTTCGCGGCTACGCTGCTGCACGGCTTCGCGGCTACTCTGCTGCTCGGCTGCGCTGCTGCACTGCTGCTCGGCTGCGCTGCTGCACCTGTTCAGCTACGGGAAAAGGGGAATGGGGGTAGAAGTGCAGATGCGGGGCGACGGGCGGCGGCCCGACGAGAAGTTGCGGGGCGACGGGCGGCGGCCCGACGAGAAGCTGCGGGGCGACGGGCGGCGGCCCGACGAGAAGTTGCGGGGCGACGGGCGGCGGCCCGACGAGAAGCTGCGGGGCGACGGGCGGCGGCCCGACGAGAAGCTGCGGGGCGACGGGCGGCGGCCCGACGAGAAGCTGCGGGGCGACGGGCGGCGGCCCGACGAGAAGTTGCGGGGCGACGGGCGGCGGCCCGACGAGAAGCTGCGGGGCGACGGGCGTCGGCCCGACGGGAAGCATAGAAATTGAAGACGTCGTCGAAGTTGACGGAAAGGTGGTGCGGGGGAATTTCCGCCCACGAATGTCGCGAATCGACGGCGACGAGATTGAAGGAGGCTATGCCGAGGTTTGTGGGAAGAACATCCGCATAGATAGGAGGATCACGATCCGCATGTGCGGATGTAGGGCTCTGATACCATGTCACAACTTAGCCTTAGAAGCGATGCATTAGTAATGAGCTTGAAGCTCTTTAAGTACATCCAAGAAGGGTAAGGAATAGTTGGGGAAGGGAATCAGAGGCAATCCCTAGGGATTGGGGGTAATCCCAAGGCAATCTCCAATTGGTGGGTTGGAGATTGCTTGGAGATTACATTTGGGTTTGGTTGAGATGTAGGTGTACACCCAACCAAACACAATGTGCAAACTACACTACTCTAGGATATAGAAAATACAAAGTACAAAGTGTGAGATTGAAGGCTAACACTAACAAGCGTGACTTTTGAGTCTTTTTAATAAGGGGCCAAACCGAAGGGTGTAGATTTGCAGTGAGAGGTGGGTTGCTATGATGGCTGGATTTCTGTTGAAGAGCCGTTCTTTTATCCACTTTGACTATGCCTCTCGATGCATGGCATGCCTTTTGAAACATCTAAAAGTCATTCTGCCCTGGCATGTCTTTTCCATTTTAGTGTGCCATGTAAGAACCATGTCATTGACACTTATCTCTGCCATTTTCCTCGCAGGTCCAGCAAATGGCCGACAAGAACCATCCAAACATCGTGCGGCTGCTTGGATATGCTGTTGGAGGGGACATGAAAACGCGGCCAGAGCAAATCCTGATCTACGAGTTTGTTCCCAACGGTGACCTTGACCAGTTTATAAAAAAGCGTAAGTTTAATTCCGACAATGACCCTATGTAGTTTGTCTACCACCTCCACATCCTGTTTCCTTGGACCCACCTCGAGCATCACCACCCCTAAAAAGTTGATCAAGAAAGTACCTGCCATTTTTTTTACTTCGTTCCCACGTTTCTTTTCAGAGAGTGGTGCACATGCTGTGTCACTACCCCTATTATGTTGCTCCTACTGTGTGGCTCATCATGTTCTCTCTCACATTCCGTCACTGTTATGTTCTGCCACTCTCTCGTTCTATGCATGTGTGCAGAGGCGTCCTTCACTCTCACCTTCCAGCAGCGGCTGGACATCCTCATTGGTGCGGCACGTGGCTTTGAGTACCTCCACAGCTTCGGCCTTGTGCATCGCGACATCAAACCTGCCAACATCCTTCTCGGAGAAAAGATGCAGGCAAGCATACGTAGGGATGGCAAAATAGGGATTTGAACCACAATAGGGTTTCAAATCCGTCCGCCATGAGTACGTTTTTTTTTTTTTTTTTTTTTTTTTTTTTTTTCTGTGCACAATAGGGATTTGAACCACAACATCTCAGGCTCTGATACCATTTGTATAACAGCGGCAGGCGTTACAACTGTGCCACGGCATGTTTGGTGCATCAACGCAGACACAATTCCCCATGCATGTTCGTCAACAACCCTTCCCCATGGATCACTCGAACGTGACCTCATTACCCTCTGATCTTTAAATTGCTTCCACACATCATTCATTCTCACTTTCAAAGATGACCAGCTCAAAGCATAAACAAGTCCTTGTCCATTCTCTTTCCTATCGCACATTTCATCCCTAATTCAATCATCAAACCATCCAACAGGCCAAAATCGCTGACTTTGGGCTGTTGAAAATGGGCGAGGGCACCACTGTGGGCACGACTCGGGTCATGGGAACACCGGGCTATGTGGATCCCATCTACTCACGCACGTCCAAGGCCACCACTGCCACTGACGTGTACAGGTGAGCTGCTTTTGAGGTTCCTCACAAAACGTCCACGACAGCCACTGGCACCGATGTGTACAGGTGAAAGGCCACCACTGCCACCGATGTCCACAGGTGAGCTGTTTTCGAGGGGCCTCACAAATAGATCCACAGCAACCGCTGTCATCAATGCCTCAGGTGAGTAACTGTCGTCATTGGGAGATTACGGATTCCAAGTGGATTCTAAATGGATGGCGTAAATGATGCCCATTATGACACCAATGCACATGCGTGCGTTTGTTTGGCTATGGGTGCGTGCAGTTAAATCTTTCCAGTTTTGCGTGTAGTGTCTGCTCGTGCTGCAATGTCAGCCTTGAGTTGCTATGATTCGTCTAGGGGATTAAAACATCGTGGTCTAGTTGTTTTGTCTTGTCAACAAAATCCCCATCTGGTTGAGATTCTCCCATATCTAATCATTGACATTGCGAGGAAAGTCCTAGCACAACCATCCAGTCAATTTTACCATCTCAGGACCTGTGTGCATGAGACAACCACTAGTGGTCCTCAGTGGTTGAAGCTCGCTGTATAAGGCTGATAGAGAGTATACTCGCAATGTGGCATCCCTGTGTGCTGCTCGCAATAACTTTGCCTCCATCCATGCAGATTCAACGTGCTCACGCTTGTACTGCTCACCGGTCGCAACCCCTGCTCAATACAGAATGAACAGTGCACAGCACATCCCTTGACAGTGTTAACTTCCTCCCCCCCCCCCCCCCCCCCCCCTACCCCCCTAATGTGTTGTTGCCCTCCGTTCTCTGTGTGTGCAGCTTCGGTGTGCTCATGCTTGTGGTGATCACCGGTCGCAGCCCCCGCTCTGCCGACGGTGACAAGGAGGGGCACATTCTGCGATGGGTGAGTGCCGCAGCTTTGGACGTGGCACAGGAAATTACTCTCACTTTTTATACAAAGTCAGATAGCGATTGCTCTACAGATGGTGTGAGAGACGGTCCTCCGGTTTGCCTTGCCGAGCAACCTTGACCGTTTCACTTACGGGCATCAGCATGGATGCGCTTGATGATGCCATGCATGCAAGTGTCGTGTGCCATTGTATTGTAACGACTTGACTTTTGAGTCGACTTAAAAGTCGCTGGTTTGCCTCGCCTAACAACCCTGATTGCATCACGGGCATCAGCATGGATGCCCTTGATGATGCCATGCATGTGCCCGCCCTCCTTCTTGTAACTCAATCCTTCAAGCGTAGCAGTGCATCTCTTTCAACAACTTGACTGCACTCAAGGGCCTCAGCAATGCACCGATTCCACTCCGTAGACCACATCATTTAGGAATGAACTCTCCTGGCCTCTCATGCATGTGTGTCATCCATTGGCCTCTCCTGGCGGTCTCAACACTGTAGCATAGTGACATCAGACCATTCTCAGTGTGACTCGTGCTCACAGTTTCGTTTCCTGCCCGCATCCCCCAACCACCTTATACACCCCATCAGGTGGAGGATCAAATCTCCTCCGGCAATCCGGCCTCCCTCAGGGACCAGGGCATGGACGCCCCGGATGATGCTGTGCTGCGCCTGGCCCAGCTGGCCCTCTCCTGCACCGCAGAGCGCACTGCAGGCCGGCCCAACATGACAGGCGTTGCCAACGAGCTGCAGGGGATCAGGCAGGAGGTGGTGGGGAAGGAGGAGCTGGGTGCAGCGATCAAGGTGGATGCACTAGCACAGGAGATGCGGAGCGGGACGTCCTTTCCCAATGACTTGGCTGAAGAGCTCCAAGTGATCAAGAGCATGGATGAAGAGACCGCCAATACAGAACTTCAGGGGATTGAGTACAGCTCATTTGGTTCTGGTCGCACCGGATGACTTATCGTGTAAATCGTCGTGCATAGTGAATCTCAAGTTCATGTTGTTTTCAACTTCCCTGCATCTACCAGAATGTTCTCCCGTATATGGGGCCTATTCAGGAACATTCGTACTTAGCTCCTGGCATGAACTCCTTTATTGTCGAGCTGGCAATCCCTCATTTGGTCCAATTAGAAGAATGACTTCGTGATTGTGGGTACGTTTTGCACCGAGCTGCCGCACTTGGCCCTTGGGGCTAAACCTGTCTACCAACCTCAGCCACACTCACTCCCGGCGCATACAAAGAACATTGGAAGGCATCAATCAACAACCAAATTATAGTCAACAACTAGTGCAACGACGTAACAATCAATCAACTCACTGTCAACGGGAGTTGGGTGATGGCCCCGTCCTCGCTTGGCCGGAGCCGACTTCGTGGTCGGGTGTGCGGGAGGTGCAGCCGACCGACCGCAGTGGGCGACGCCGACTTGGGCGAGCAGATCGACGGATTTGGTCAACCTGCACAGGGCCAATGCGAAGCCGCCGACGACGGGCGCCAGCGGCCGACTTCGACCGGTGGTTGACGCGTACTAGGAGGGCCTCTAGAATCTAGATTCAATATAACCTAGCAGAGTTTTCTTTAAGGCCACTTCTGATTGTATTTCCCAAAAAACATTATTCTAATGGTGCCATTCATCTACTTCTGGTAAGTAAATAAAGCGTTCGGGCGCCGACTTGGGAGGGCGTGTTAGAACTATGAGGAATGGTTGATTAGGTCAAGGCGAGGTGGGTACAATGAAGTGTTGAGAAAGAGGTTTTAACATATATGTTTTAACACACCCCCATAGGCAATGTGGGGGATAGCGAGAGCAAGCAATGGTCACAAGACCAGTCAAGAGAAGCAAATAAAGCAAAGCTCAGGGTGGATATCAAGATCACCACACAGTCCGAGCACAAACAAGTGGCCACAAGGCCAGTTCACATGCAATGTTTCTAACAGCAATTGCAGTACACTGAGCACAACCTAGCAAGTGTAAGCATGCAGGTATAATAATATATATCAGAATACAACAATTGCAAGGCAAGATCAAGAGACAAGTAGGTGAGGCAGAGTGGGCACAAGCCCAAGAGCAGTGCAGAAACGCTGATGATCACCAGACCCAAGGGCCTTGGTGAAGACATCAGCAGTGTTGGCCTGTGAGGCCACGTACGAGAGGCGAAGCTGACCACGCTGCTCCAACTCTCGTGCGAGGAAGTAACGAAGCGCAATGAGCTTCGTTCTGTGCTCCAGTCTGTGGTCATGACATAAGGCAATCATGGCCTTGTTGTCGACGTACAGAACTGGAGGAGAATGAGGCCGCTCACCCAAATCGGTTAGCCGGTAGGTCAGCCAACGGAGCTCTTGTGCAGCCATAGCCCCAGCGTAGATCTCGGCCTCACAGCTAGAACTAAGTATAGAAGACGAGCGAGTGGACCTCCACGAGACAGAACCAATGCCGAGGCTGAAACTGTAACCCTGTGTCGACCGGTGAGTCGTCTGGTCGTCAGACCAAGAAGCGTCTGAGTGACCAGTGAGAACAACTGGACCTCGTCCCCCAAGCGCAAGCCCCATGTCTCATGTACTGTACAAGTAACGCAGTACCCTCTGTGCAGCTGTCCAGTGCTCCTTCCGGTGTCAAGCGGGCGCAACATAGCGAGCAAGGAGGCTGAGAGGGTACGTGGGGTCAGGTCGTGTGTACGTCATCAAGTACATGAGGCAACCCACAAGCTCTGATACCATGTTAGAACTATGAGAAATGGTTGATTAGGTCAAGGCAAGGTGGGTACAGTGAAGTGTCAAGAAAGAGGTTGTACCCCCTAATGACTAACCCCACTACAGCCTAAGTAAATATAAACAGATATGTTTTAGCAGGGCGCCGACCTGGGGAAGCCGACTTAGTAAAGTCGGCTGGTGGTCATCGACCTGGGTGATCGACGGGCACGTACAACATTTGGTCGACATCGACCACACAAGTCGACGCCGACTTAGTGGTTGCTAGGTCGACCAAGTTACCTAGGCGACGGGGTTCTGTGGAGGTGCGCGACAATTGCCCAGGTGGTTCTGGCGAAGCCGACCTAGGAGGTGGTATCCTGAGGTCGACGTGGCTGATCAAGCGCAGTCAGTGGCATGTGGTCGACTTGGTGTCTGTGTTGTGCACGTGACGGTGCGTTGCTGTCATCTGCATGTGCAACGCTGGATGGCCGCCTTGCTGCAGCGTTGGCACGCCGTCGACTTGCAACGTTGGCAAGCCGCCTTTATGCAGCGTTGGAGCGGTGCGGCCTTTGCAGTGCTGGAACGCGGTCGACCTTGCTGCGCTGGAAATCGACCTGCTTGCATGCTAGGCAGACGTGCATTTGATGTAGTCAGTTTTGACAACATTGTTGCTATCATTGTTAACAGATTTTGCTAGTGAAATGCTTGCCAATTCTCCCCGTGAATGTGGCGTAGAGAGAACACGAGCAAACGCTAAGGAATGCTATGATCATTCTCACAACCATGTCTTTCCCCATAATCTTGCTCCCATTGTAGAGTTAATCTCCGCAGTCACAAGGTAGGATCTCTTCACATTCGTCAACACGGATAGAGTCACCAAACATGCTGCGTCGCGGTCTTGTCTATCGGCGAGCCAAATATTGGAGGGTGAACAGCTGTACACCAGGCAGGTCTCTCAAACGAGCCTCCAGGTTCGCGATAATGATCTATGCAAACTTGGTGTAGAGATCAAAACATGTATCGTGATGACATGGGCCGATATTATCATCTGGGCGGTCACCTTCCGAGTACGCCATCAATGGTGCCATCTCGCGTGCAACCGGGACAATGCTTCTCAAGAAATGGTGAAAGGCGTGCACTCAGCCCCCCCCTCCCCCCTCCCTCCCCCCAAAACTCTTCCCCACAGTCGACGTAAAATAATCAAGCTGGTGGAAAAGGGAGGAAATGGCAAAGCACGAGGTGTGTAAGGTCAATTCTTACGGGAACCAGAGGGATAAGTAACGAGCAGAATCAGTATGAGTGTAGGATAGTAAATATACCTCTCGTTGCTGGAACATCTTGCTCAAGGCGTTCACCTGATCAAGCATATTGGCAAGCAAGAAGTAAAACCTATAACTTGTTACATCAGCGTACAACTATGCATAGCAATCCTGCAGCATGGTAATGTCAGCTAGCAGAACTGGCATGAACCTAGATGGCATCATTACTTAATAGCCATAAGATGTTGCAAATCCCGTGCAGTTCCAGGTTTGTCACGGTGAACACCTCCTGCAGGTCCATGAATCGTTAATGACATGGACCAGACCTTCTAAGATGTTCAACGATTGCTCTAATGGCCCCATCAATCATGCTGAAGACTAGAAGACTCTCCGCTGCATTATTTGCTGCCACATACAAGAATAGTTATGAATTAGTGGGTATTCATATATGGTACTTATTGAAGTTAATGGGTTCCACTTACCGATGTGCTATGCAATGACATTACACCGGAACAGAAATGCAAGACATAGCCGCACCAATAAGCCCGACCGAGGACCCACCATCGCATCAGCTCTATCTGTGTTGATGTCCGAGACGCGTCTTAGACCGACGCCAACCGACTGCAAGTGCGACAACAACAGTCCCAGCTTCGCGACATCCACCTTGGCGACTGTCAAAACCGTGATGAACACCGTCACTAGTCGCGAGTAGCGAATGAAAGTCATGAAAAGGATCTTATGTTTACCTCTATAGCGGGCCGTGATTTTGTCACATAAAATCTTAATGTAAGGACTTGCAAGAACAAGTTTGAGCTTAGTAGTATACAGCTTTCTTCTGGAGATTGCGTGAGCTCACCAAAGCCGCACCTGAGGAAGATAAGGCACATGAGTACGTAAGGAATACATATACAAGTATAAATCATTACATGAAACAATCACAGATGGAGTGAATTATATCCCAAATCCCTTCTTCGGGAAGTATTTCACCCTCTTCTTGAAAAGTAATGCACCAAGTTCACCCATGTATCCACGATTGCATCACGCCGGCTGAGGAAAAGGACTGCATCCAAAATTCCTATGACGCGTTCTTTTTTGTTGTCGCGTGCGAGCGGATGCTCGTCAATCCGCGATTGTCTGGTCTTGCCTACTATAGTATCATGCCTGGAAATGGCAAGCTTTGTGAATCTGAGTTCCAACATGTTTCTAGAATGCATGTGTTTGAACGTCGATTGCTCCTTTGCCACCCCTGCCTGACTCTCGAGCATGAACTGAGCAAACTGCACACTTAAATGCTGGAAGACCAGCATAAATTTGTGTTAGTTGCAACAAAGGGAATGCACCAATCCAACGTGCTTTGAACTTTTTGAGATCATCAACGTACACATCGTCGTAGATGGGGACGGATGGTTTGAGGCTGCAACTTCTGGCACGGGCGGAGGCGGAACGTCAGTGGGCACTGTGGAGGGCATAGATGAAAGGCGGCACCAGTTGAGAAAGGTATGTTTTATACGAGCAGTGTAAAGCATAGTGTCAGATTGCCTTTCATTTGTACTTGGCAGGTCATATCGACGACAGGCTCACCAATTGAATCTGAAGCTGTAGAAACGAGAGTATGAATGATAGTTAAGGCAGGTGTTTCGTTGGTGTTACCGCGGATCACCTCGATGGTCCTCATTGGGCCATCCAACCTTGTTTTGGGCACGTTTCAACATGATCCAATTTACAACTACCTGGATTCTGTAGAATCCTGCCAGTGTGGGACACATGATTGGATGTTGGTGGTAATTACAAGAAGCTGCATGATCGGCTTATATATTCGACAACCCTGGCGACGACATATCATAGTCAACAGTAACCTCAGGCAGAGTCACGACTCTCTAGGCCATTTTGCATGAATGACGCTGATTTTGAAATCCTTGGCTAAAGTTTTAGGGGTCTCCACAAATCCTGACAAATTCACATTTATGGCCCTGTTCGATACAACACTGATGCAGTGTACGTTGGACGTAGAAATTAGTGTTGGTTCACAAGAACTAGATAAAAAATTATGAGTTAACATAAGAAAAGGTGCTGTTAAATCAGCCCAAGGGAAAATCAGAACCCTTACCACCAGCCTTTTAATCCCAAATAAACGTAAAAATGTCGACTTCCGGGGGCCAGGACCCGCACATCATCCCTCATGAATGCACCACCTAATATTTGATATAAGAGAGTCATTCTCCAACCAGAAGTTAAGAAGTGTGTGCTCTTATTCGATAATATTTAAAGTGCGTTGGACCCATATTTGTATATGCATATTTTTTTTTGTATTTTTCTATGTATATTATTTACTACGATTCACAACCGTTTCTTCAGTCTTTATGCATCCTCAAATTATGTGTCTTTATGCAAATTTACATATTATTTGTGCAAATTTAGATACGATACAGATAATTGCTATGCCTATTTCTTGTACTCTGAACGATTTTTACACTGATTTTTAATGAATGGGATGGTGTATTGAGGATACCTGTTTGTACAAATTCCCCTTGCATATGGTGTGCAGATTTCAGGAGCCCGCTACAACGAGTACGGTGGTCCGTTGAGGTTCGTTTGAAAGTGGTTTGGGATGCGAGGCGGGTGTGACTCGCGAAACTCATGGTTCGGATATATCCGACACGGTAACGGAAAGGAACGGCTTGGACAGACACCCAGAAAAACAGAGTAAGCGCTGTTTCTTGTGCAACCACAGTTGCTCGCGTTTGTGTGTGTGCAGAAATAGCAGAGGCAGACTTCACAAGCCCTCCGTTTTGCCGTAGCGTCGTTACTACTCGCTCGCTCGCTTCCGTTATGCATATCAGCGACTTCACGTTAATTGCCACTTGAATTGCGACGTTACAATTATGGGGCCGGGGCGAGGGAAGAAATCACGTGGCGGAGGGCCCAAAGGGCGGCTAACATTTTCCGCTAACGGGGCGGCAAAAGGTGGCGGCCGGACACGTGGCTTCGAGGTACTGGTCGACGACTTGCCGGAGTCTCTCGGACTGTCAACGAGCGGGGGAGAAGGCAGAGGAAGGGAGGAGGCGAGGGGAGGCGACGCGCGGTCCCAAGGGGGTTCAGTAGGCAAAATAATAGAGGGCGGAACGATGCGCGGGGGAAGGAGAGGGCGAGGGAAAGATAGAGGGAGAGGGAGTGGGAGCGCGGGTGGAGACGAGAGGGGCAGGGAGAGGAAGTTTCAGAGAACTATTGCGGGGAACTTAAGTGCAGGCGGAGCGGAGGCTTTCGGGCCTGGGAGGAGCGTGGGTGGGGAGAAGAGCGGAAGGGGTTTGAACGGGGACGGAGGGTTCGGGAAGGGACAGGGTTTTGGGGGGGTTCAGGGGAGAAGGTCAGATAGTTCGGGTTTTGGTAGATTATCAAGGAGCCAAGAGGAGGAGGAAGAGGGAGAGGAGGAGGAGGAGGAGGAGGAGGAGGAGGAGGAGGAGGAGGAGGAGGAGGAGGAGGAGGAGGAGGAAAAAGAGGAGGAGGAACAGGGGCTGGGGGGGGAAGAGGGGGAGGTGGAAAGTGGGAGTGAGGAGGAGGGAGAAGATTCGGAGGAGCAGAGGGATGCAGAGGATGAGCTGGTGAGTTGGACCCGAGTCCCCTCTCCCATCTCCCCTTTTTTCCCTCTTCAACCCATTCGCTCGCGCCTGCAGCAGCAGCTACCAGACGCGTCTTTTGCGGAAATCAAAAGCATGGGAGGCTGCAGGCGGGCCAAATTGTCCTTCACACCTCTCACTCTCCGTGCTCCTCTTCCCCTCCCCGCTCTCCCTTCTCCCCTTTCCTTACTCCCCCCTCTTGTTCCCCACTACTCACCCCAGTCGCGCCTCCAGCAGCAGCTAGCACATGCGCCCTATAAGGAAATCCAAGCAAGGAGCTGGGGTTGGGTCCGCACTCGCTTTCCTCTCTTTCGCGTCCCTCACTTTCCTTGCTCCCGTCTGCCCTCTCTCTACTCGTTTCGCCCTTCATCCTACTCACCCCAGTTGCGCAGATGTGCCATTTGAGGAGATCCAGTGCGGGCCATATTGTCCTTCACGCGTCCCACCTCCCTCTCTCCCCTCTCCCGTCTCCCGTCTCCTCTCCTCTCGCCCCTCTCCGCTTTTCTAACTACCCTATCAGGTGCGCCTGCAGCAGCAGCTGGCAGACGTGCCGTTCGAGGAGATCCAGAGCATGAGAAGTCGCGAGCGGGTCGCGTTGTCCTTCACGCCTCTCTCTTCCCGTTGTCCAGAGCATGAGAAGCCACGGGCCAACCACATTGTCCTGCACGCCTCACACTTCCCTTACCTCCCACTCCCGTTCCTTCCCACTACCCCCTCATCAGGCGCGCCTGCAGCAGCAGCTAGCGGACGTGCCGTTCGAGGAGATTCAGAGCATGAGAAGCCACGGGCCAACCACATTGTCCTGCACGCTTCACACTTTCCTTGCTCCCCTACACCATTTTCTTGCTCCCCCAGTCACGACTGCAGCAGCAGCTAGCAGACGTGCCCTTTGAGGAGATCCAGCAAATGAGAAGCCGCGGATGGGCTGCTGCTCCTATACGCGGGTCTGGGGAGCTTGGTGGGCGGGGGGGAAGAAGTCAGGCCGGCATTGGTGCTAGTGCTGGTGCTGATGGTGATGCTGATTCCGATTCTGTCTCTAGTGACGATGACGATGGGGATGGCGGCGAAGCTGGGAGGAGGAAAGGAGGGGATAGAGGGAAGGGAGCGAGAGGGGGAGGAGCAGAAGGGGAGGAGGCAGGGGGCAGTGGAGGTGCGGTGGTGGGGTTGAAGCGCATGAAGGTGCTGGCAGAGGCGGTGCGGCGCCGGGCCAACAAGAACCGACCCATGGAGCTGCCTGCTAAGAAGCCGGTGCCGCGGCTGCGACAAGTGGTGGACGCCCCTAGGAAGGTGGGGTGGGTTGGGGTGGGATGAATTAGGGTGGGGTGGGATGGGATGGGATGGGATGGGATGGGATGGGATGGGATGAGATGGTCAAAAGGCCACCTTGCTATTGTTGCAGGCCAACAGGCCAACTGATGGAGCTGCCTGCTAAGAAGCCCGTGTCGCGACTGAGACAAAGTGGTGGACGCTGCTTGCTGGATAAGAAAGTGCGACAGGATAAGAATCACCTTGCTTTAGCTGCTTGCCTCTATAGCTGGTGTGTGCGGTGGGGGGTAAGATGAGTTGTGATGCTGGTGTGTGGGGTGGGGGGTAAGATGAGTTGTGATGCTGGTGTGTGGGGTGGGGGGTAAGATGAGTTGTGATGCTGGTGTGTGGGGTGGGGGGTAAGATGAGTTGTGATGCTGGTGTGTGGGGTGGGGGGTAAGATGAGTTGTGATGCTGGTGTGTGGGGTGGGGGGTAAGATGAGTTGTGATGCTGGTGTGCGTGTTTGAATGCCACGAGGTACCCCATGTTCCTCATGCCCCCCCATCTCCCCTAGTGCACCCCCATGTTCCCCCATGTCTCCACACGTGTCCCCCATGTCCCAACATCTCTCCCCATTCCATCTTTCTCCTTCTCCTTACCCCATCCACTCCCCTCTCCCCCTATCTTCTTCCATACCCTCATTTCCCCTAACATCCCCCAATCTCCCCCAGTCTCCCCCATCCCCCTCAACCCCCCCCCATCTCCCTGATAAACCCTGCAATCTCTCCCAACCTCCCTCAACCTCCCTCAATCATCCTCCAGTCTTTCCTATCTTCCCGCAATCTCCATCAACCACTCTCAATCTACCTCATTCTCCGCCAATCAGCCTCAGTCTTCCCCTTCCCCCCCTCCCCTGTCATCTGCCCCTACAACCACAGGTTGTTCGGGACCCGCGTTTTGAGTCGCTCTGTGGGGAGTACGACGAGGGCAGGTGGGTACTGGGGAAAGAAGGGGAGGAGGGGGGCAGGGAGGGGAGGAGGGGGCAGGGAGGGGAGGAGGGGGCAGGAAGGGGAGGAGGGGGCAGGGAGGGGTGGAGGGGGGCAGGGAGGGGTGGAGGGGGGCAGGGAGGGGTGGAGGGAGGGAACGGGGGGAAAGGAAGGAGGGACCCACTATTAAGGAAGTGATGGGAAATGAGGAGATAGGAATATAGGTCAAGTTCAGTTCCCAACCTCCATCATGCCACCTTTTGAGTCAACTCAGAACTTGACATACTCTCCTATCTGAATTTCGAGTAACCGCTGTTGTCTCTCGCTCCGTTTTCTTATGTTCCTATAATAAAGCTATTTTGAATGTCATTTCTGTTCTGTCCTCTTTACTACCAGGTTCAAGTCTGCCTACAAGTTCCTTTTTGCAGAAGCACTTCCCAAGGAGAAAGAGGTAAGCCGAGATTTCAACAGATGCATGCAAGAGTCATGGAGAGAGGGAACCGTTCTCAACAACCTATGAAGGGGATGCTGCTGTTGTGTTGTGTGTGTGAGATTCTGTGTCTTTTCACAGCATTCGCCCCCTCCTTATTGCTCTTCCTAAGAATTCGCCTTGCTGCAACACCTGGAGCACAGTCTTTCCTTCATCTGATTCCTCACACAATTGCCACCACTACCCACTCTTCTCACTTTACTTTTGAGTATTCTCAAAAGTAAAATTCACATACGCCACTACTCACTCTTCTCACTTTGCTTCCTTACCTCTACTCACCCCTCCTCGCCTCCACTCACCTTTCCTTGCTGCTACACCGTTACCAGGAGGTGCAGAGGCAGCTGAAAAGGGCCAAGGATGAGGAGGAGCGGAAGAAGATCAAGCGGCGGCTTGCACAGATTGTAAGCTACTTTCCTCGGTTTTTTATTCCCTCTGAGTTCTTATGAATAGAATCCGTTTACAACCAATGTTGCTCGTCTTGTAGCCAAAACCATTCGCCTTTGTTATCGCTGGTTCCGCTCCTTTCTTCACTGTCTCTCTAACTTCTATTGTTTCGAGTCTGTAACAATCCTTCTGTTTTTGCTTCTCACTTGTTCGCTTGCTTGCCCTCCCATTCACTCTGCCTCTTTTGCTCCCCTCTCCCTTCCTCAACACATGTATACCCATCTGCGCTGCTTTTAGTTTGACTCGTCATTTAGGGCCCCATTGCTCCCTGTACTTACCTTTTTGCATATCCATCTCCTTCATTGGCTTTCTGTTGCATTCTTCAAGTTTCCTTGTATTAGCTCTTCTATCTTCCTTTCCTATGAATCTCACGCTATGGTTACCTGACCCACATGAGTCGTCCCTGAAGTGTCAGGACCAACCGACCGCAGAGGAAGGCTGTAGGGGAATACCCATGTGCCCGGGAGGGAGTGCGGATGTTCCTAGTGGACCCATTTCGTGCCTTTGCCTGACCCTCACAGACGCACACCCGTCTTTCACCATCTCTGCCCCTCACACCCCTCATGCCCGCTCCCTGCCCCTCATGTCCACACCCCGGTGTTTTGTTCCGCAGGAGCAGTCATTGAAGAGTGAGAGCCAGAGGCAGAAGAAGGTGGGGAGGGAGGCACACACCCTTGATGCCTTCTCCCTCTGCCCCCCTCCACCCCTCACTCCCTCAATTGCTGGTGGTTTGTTCCGCAGGAGCAATCATTGAAGAGTGAGAGCCAGAGGCAGAAGAAGGTGGGGAGGGAGATGGAGCTGAAGCGGCAGGAGAGGGAGGCCGTGAAGGCGGGAAAGAAACCGTTCTACCAGACCAAGTGTACGTGCTTGTGTGCTTGTGTTCCTGTGTGGCTGTGTTTGAGAGAGAGTGTGGCTGGGAGGGGGAGGGAGATTGTGTGCTTGCGTGCTGGTGTGATTGTGTGCGTGTGTGCGTGTGTGCGTGTGTGCGTGTGTGCTGGTGTGCTGGTGTGCTGGTGTGCTGGTGCGCTTGTTTTGCATGCGTGCTTGTGTGCGAGAGAGTGTGGCCGGAAGGAGGGTGCCACGTGCCTGCTTGAACCCATGCCTCACATCACAGCAATCATCCCTGCAACTCAACACTGTGTTCATATCACCCATGCATTCCTGCTCCCATTTGACGACTTTTGAGGCGCCTCAGAAGTCATGTGCTTGCTCGTACCCATGCATCACAGCAATCATCCCAGCATCTCAACACTGTGTTCAACACACATGCATTCGTGCTCCTCCCTATCAGATATGCATTGCTGCTGACCCTAAGATTCCAGTGAGCAGAGTGCTATGAGAAGACTCGAATCCCACCTCACTCTAAACGACCCTCTCATCAGCCCACACCCCCCTCAGCTCACACCACACCCCTTCCTCCCTTGCTAGCCATCCCACCTCCCCTCCCTGCTCCAGCCCACCCACCCTGCGCCCTACCTCTAAGTTCTAACAACACGCCCTCCTCTACCCCCGACCCCACACCCCTCTTGTCTTCGCTTGCCTCACATCCCCTTTCGACTTGCGTTGGCATCCGGCATTGCGTGCGGTGTGGTCTGGTGCGGTGCGGTGCGGTGCTGTGTGGTCATGTGGTGTGCGCCGTGTGGTGTAATGTTCCTCTGCAGCGTCTCGCCGGCGTGAAGAGCTGTACGAGAAGTACCAGGAGCTTAAGGTGAGCCCGTTGACATCCATCACATGCTCACATCCATCACATGCTCACATCCATCACATACTCAGTACAGCACACAAAGCATGAGTTGGGATTGTTGCGGACAACTCAAAAGCACCTTCTCACAAACTATCAAAATGCTGCTGTTTTTGTTTTTGTGTTGCAGGCAGGGGGCAAGCTGGACTCATTTATGGCGAAGAAGAGGAAGAGAAACGCGGCGAGAGAACACACCAAGGTGCCGTTCCGCCGAGAGCATTAGCAGGCTGAGTGCATATGAAGAATAATCAAGGAATTATGTGTTTGGTGATACGTAAAGGCATTCACATCATCACACACACTTGGAATGTAAAAGAAAAGCCAAGTACCGTAGCACGAGTCATAAGAGATGGATACAACTGGTTGAGAAAACACAGGGTCCTCCCAAGTTTTGTGTTGCTGAATCCAAAGCCCTGCTGTGGTGCTGAGATATGCAATGCGCGTTCATGGAGGCCTCTGAGGATGCATGTGCATGAGGGAGCGAAGGTCTTGAGTTCTAGTCCATTCCACTACCAAATAAGCATACAGTACATACTTAATTCCAGACGGTAGAAAACAAAATCACATTATGTACTACTAAACGCTCCATAACCAGACTAATTTATCAGTCTATATTTCTATGTAGATTGCCCTTTATTTCATATGGACTGTAATGCACATGACGAATTTTCTTCATGTAGGCGTTTCGAATCTCGATAAAAACAGATAGGGCTTCAGAAGCGACAAACATGCCTACGAGATGTTATCCTCACTGACAGTCGCTCGCGACTAGAAACCTGAGTGAGTATTGTACCCAAATTAGGGTTCGAGCACCCAATATATAATCGCCACCGATCTGTAACCATGTGTATTCTCTCTGCAACTTACAGAACCAGCTTTAACCCAGCGTGCAAGGAATGTGATCCTTACGAAGAGTCGTAGCGCCTAATGAAACCAGATCCGACGAGACTAGCCAGCCACTTTGTGCCAGTCGCCGCGTAATACCCCACTTCCACATCCATGCCTAGACCGGCCAAGTCAACTACAGAGCTCCCTCGTAACCCAATGTTACACTGAGTCCTTATCTCGCTGTTTTCGCCGGTTTGACGTTTGTTTCCAATGGTGGCAAATGGCGGGGAAAAGAAGGGAGGCGAGAGAACAGCGGGGAACGGGAACCGAAGCGAGGAGGGAGAGGAGGATGGGAGAGACGAGCCGGAGAGGAACGATTCGGGGGAGGTAGAGCAGGCAGGAGGGTCGGACGCGGCGTCGGGAGAGGACGAAGGGGATGGCGGAGGAGAGGACGGAGGGGAGGAATACGCGGACGGGAAAGAGGCGGACGGGGAGGAAGCGGAGTACGAAAATGCTGACGGAAAATTAGACGGCGACGGAGGCAAGGAAGACGAGGAGGAAGAGGAAGACGGGAAGGAGGACGATGACGAAGACGGAGACGGAGAAGAGGACGGAGAGGACGACGAGGAAGAGGAGGAGGAAGACGGAGAGGAGGATGAGGAGGGGGAGGACGAGGAGGAGTGCGACGATCAGTCGCCCGTGGAGGAGGTCGCACTGACGGTGGCGACGTTCGACGACCCGTCGCTGCCGTGCCTGACGTGGCGCGTCGTAATCATTGGCAGTATCGTGTGCGCGCTGCTCGCCTTCATCAACCAATATTTCTGGTTCAGGTGGGCCGTGCTTCTGGTTCAGGTGCGGGCTGCTTCAGGTGGGCGCGGCTTCAGGTGGGGGCTGCTTCAGGCGCGGGTTGCTTCAGGTGCGCGCCTGGACAAACCAAGTCGTAAAAGAGAAGCTTCATGCAAAGCAGTGCTCCTGGTTTCGGTGGGCCCAGCAGCATGTACACACACCCCGAGCCCAGCCAGCATGCATGCAATCTCGTCTCGTCCAAGTCCTCAGCTGGTTTCCTTTCCACTCCAGTCACTGCACGTGGTGAACAGCAGTTTCAGAACCCACATTGCCCGATGCCCATGCATTGCATGCCACCTACTCCATGTATCATGCCCGTATGCTGTGAACGCCCGATGCACGGGCAACCCATGGGTCTCTCCCATGCCCACCACCGCTCTCCTCCGTGCGTTCTTGCTTTCCAATCACTGCCCCCTTCACCTCGGTGAATGGTGAGTATTACCGGAATGCTCGTGCCATGCTTTTCATGTGGACGATGCCTGTAACCCGTGTGTGTCTGTGTGTGTGTGCCCATGCGTGTACCTGTGCATGTGCGTGTGCGTGTTCATGTGCATGTCCCTGTCCATGTGCATGTGCGTATCATGCACCACAGGACCCAGTCCATCATAATCAACCCCATCGCTGCTATCATCCTATCTCTCTACATGGGTCGCCTCTTAGCGAGGATAGAGCGCCGCTTCAACCCCGATGCACTCCCCTTCAGCGTCAAGGTAACGAGGCGATTACATGCCAACCAATCTAGTGCAAGCGCACATGCTCAAAGAGGTGAGTTTTGAGTCGACTAGTCGCCTCGCTTCAACCCCGATGCTCTCCCCTTCAGTGTCAAGGTGATATATGCGTGCCCAGCTGGTGCAAGAGTTTGTGTCACGTTTGAGAATTCCAGAAGATTGCGTGGGCGTGGGCTGTTGTGACGTGCCATGACATGACGATGATGCTGCAAGAGCCTGGCGTAGGTAGGTAGGTCCCTGAAAGGAGGTGCGGCTGCATGCATGGGCCAGTGCCAGTCGGTGTGGGCGGGCGGGCAGGTGGATTATGCATGGACGCGCACACATGCACATGCAGTGCGATTGACTCTCAAATCGCACACATAAACATGCACATGCACATACACATGCACATACACATGCACATACACATGCAGACACACATGCACATGCACATACACATGCACATGCACATGCAGCAGTGCAGGTGTGGGATGAAGTGGTGTGCATGTACAAGGAAGGAAGGCATCACCAGGCTCCATCCAGGCAGCCTCCAAGCACCACACCAAAGTGCATTGCGCTTCAGCAGCATTATGTGTGACCTGCATGTGTGTGTGGGGGAGGGGAGAGGTGCGGGGGAGGAGGGGGGAGGTGTGGGGGAGGTGGGGGGGAGGTGGGGGGGAGGGGGGGGGGGGAGGTGGTGGGGGGGAGGGGGGGGGGAGGTGGTGGGGGGGAGGGGGGGGAGAGATGGGGGGGAAAGGAGAGAGGAGATGCGGGGGGAGGGAGGGGGGGGGGTGCGTGCGTGCGTGTGGGCATGCTGCATGATGCTGCTTCCCGTCCACTGCCCCCCACAGGAGCATGTGCTGATCGGCATTTTCGCCAACTGCGGTTCAGCCTTTGGCAACGGCAATGCGTATGCCATTGACATCGTGACCATCATGAAGCAATTCTACGACGTTGTGAGTGCCTCCTGCCCTCCTGCCCCCACGCCCTCCTGCCCCCACGCCCTCCTGCCCCCACGCCCCCATTACCCCATACCTCCATTGCAACCCACCCCCATATCTCTGTGCTTCCACCTCGCTTCTCTGCACTGCACCCTTCTGTGTGCATGTTCATGTGCCGCCACCCTTCTGTGTGCATGTTCATGTGCCGCCACCCTTCTGTGTGCATGTTCATGTGCCGCCACCCTTCTGTGTGCATGTTCTTCAATCCATTTCTTCCCGATTTTCTTAGCAACGGACCAACGGTAGTCATATACACTCTTCTTTCTTGCCCAATCAGAATCCCTCTCATTGCTGCCCTTCCAACCACGAGTGATCACGACTGCCCATCCCTTCCTTCCTCACATGCCTTCCCTCCAACTCCCTTCTACGCACTCCTCACTTTTCCAACTCGCCTTCCTCATCCCGCTTCATCTGCCCCCGTGCCCGCTCTTTCTCTCCCCACCCTCCCGCCCTCCCCTCCTCTCTCTCTCTCTCTCTCTTCCACTCCCCCCCTCGCCCTACCAGCATTTGGCCTTCTTCCCGGCCTTTCTGCTCGTCACCACAACGCAAGTGCTCGGATACGGGTGGGCGGGCATGTTCAGACGGTACCTCGTGGTGAGATTGGCGGGCCTGGGTACGATGGGCGGGCAGACAAGTGGATGGGCGGGCAGGGAAATGGATGGGCGGGCAGGGAAGTGAGGATGGGCGGGCAGGGAAATGGATGGGTGGGCAGGGAAGTGGATGAGCGGGCAGGGGAATGGATGGGCGGGCACGGAAATGGATGGGCGGGCAGGGAACTGGAAGGGCGGGGCGGGCGTGCATACGGATGGGCATTCTCACACTCTCAGCTACTCCTCTGCCTTCCCAGGCGCCCCGTCCGTCATCTCATCATGCCCACCACACCAGTACCTCAGCAACCACCTCCTCTGTCGCTCCCACCCACACACCCACCCACCCACCCACCCACCCACCCACCCACCCACCCACCCACCCACTGATAGTAGTCACTCATTTTCCCTCTCCTTTCAATCTTCATTCTTAGCTGTCCTTGCCCCTTCCGCACCTCGCCCCTCCTCATTACCGCATCTCTCATCACCGATGCAACTCACCCTCCCCCCCCGGATCCCCCCCACCTCCCCCCCCCCTTCAATTTCCACCCCTCCCCTGCCCCTCCTCTCCCCCCATCGCCCCCCGGCTGTGCCTCATTGACCCGCGTCAGGAGCCAGCCCACATGTGGTGACCCTCTCTATCTCTCTCTCTCTCTCTCTCTCTCTCTCTCTCTCTCTCTCTCTCTCTCTCTCTCTCTCTCTCTCTCACCTCCAACGCCCCTCCTCCTTCGCCCTCCCCTCCTCTCCCTGTTTCCCACCCTCCCATGCCCCTCCTGTCCCTCCATCGCATCGCCCCCCGTCGCCCCCACCACCCCTCATCAGGAGCCGGCGCACATGTGCTGGCCCACAGATCTCGTTTCTTTCTCTCGGTACCACCTCTCTCCTCCCCTCTCCCTGCTTCCTACCCTCCCCTGCCCCACATGTTATCTCCTAGAGGCTCCCCCCACCCTCACCCCCTGTTGCCACCCATCAGGAGCCCGGCGCAGATGTGTTGGCCCACGCAGACCTCGTCTATGTCTCTCATTACTCATGAGTCCCCTTCCCACCTCCCCACCAACCCCAACCCCGTTTCCCTCCCTCCTGTTCCCCATCGCCCCCCATCGCCACCCACTGCCCCTCGCTGCCTCTCATTGCTTCGCATCCTCCCCTCTCCCTCCTTCTCCCCCATCTCCCCCTTCGGCCCCCATTGCTGCCCACCCATCAGGAGCCGGCGCACATGTGGTGGCCCACAGACCTCGTCTATGTCTCCCATTACTCATGCGCCCCCTCTCCCCCGTGCTTCCGACCCTCCCCTCTCCCCCCTGCTTCCCACCCTCCCCTCTTCCCCCTCTTAATCCACCGTCCTCATGATTTCTCATCAGGAGCCGGCGCACATGTGGTGGCCCACAGACCTCGTCTATGTCTCCCTCTACCGGTAAGCCTCCTTTCCACCACGCCCCCTCCTTCCACTTCCCACCCTCGTTCTCCGTCGTTCAAAGGATCCCTGGGAAGACGGAGAACGAGGGTGGGAGGATCCTGGCATGAAACATAAGTCCAGGTTCAGGCAAGCAAGGCGCTCCTTTCCGTCCGTACCCTTCTCCCCTCCCCCCCCCATCTTCTTCCCTCTGATCCACGGGTATCAGCTCACTCGAACCTTTTTTTGAGGCACCTTTTTTTTAGGCGCCTCAAATATAGACTCCTAAAAAACGAGGTTCCTAAAATATAGCACCCTTGTCCCCTTTCCCCTCCATGGGTATCAGCTCTCTTGAGCCCTGAATCCAGCAATTCAGCTCTCTTGAGCCCTGAATCCAGCAATTCAGCTCTCTTGAGCCCTGAATCCAGCAATTCAGCTCTCTTGAGCCCTGGCTTCTCCTCAGCCAGCTACCTTTTTCATCCCACTCAACGCCCTGCACGAGTGAGACACAACGCACGAGTGAGACACAACGCACGAGTGAGACACGACACACCAGTGAGACACAACACACGAGTGAGACACAACACACGAGTGAGACACAACACACGAGTGAGACACAACACACGTGTGAGACACAACACACGAGTGAGACACAACACACGAGTGAGACACAACACACGAGTGAGACACAACACACGAGTGAGACACAACACACGAGTGAGACACAACACACGAGTGAGACACAACACACGAGTGAGACACAACACACGAGTGAGACACAACACACGAGCGCGCGGCATGCTGACACGCGCGCTCTTCGTCCTTCTCATCATCCCCAAACCACCTTTTGTAGCTCCACTCCTGGTGCCTCTACTACACAACCCCACCCCACCCCACCCCACCCCAACCCACCCCACCCCGCCCCATTCCACCCCACAACCCCCTCCTCCCCTCCCACCAGCACCCTCCTGCCCCACTCCTGCTGCTTTACCCAACTCCACAAACCACACCCCTCCTCTTCGCCTCCCTTTCCCCCCCTGTTCTCCCCATTTCCCCCCCCCGGTACCTCCCCTTACCCCCCTCCTTTTCCCTCCCACCAGAACCCTGCACGAGTCAGACACGCCAGTGCGCGGCATGCTGACAAGGGCCCACTTCTTCTTCCTCATAACGGCGCTCTCCTTCTTACCCCTGGTGCCTCTACTCCCACAATCCCACCCGACTCCACCCCACTCCACCATACACCTCCCTCCCCGCCCCTCCCACCAGCACCCTCCATGAGTCAGACACACCGGCGCGGGGCATGCTGACACGGGCGCATTTCTTCTTCCTCATATCGGCGCTCTCCTTCCGTTGGTACCTCGTGCCTGCCCGGCTACCTCATCCCCATCGCGCCCTGGCCCACTCCTCGTGCCCCTCTCTACTCCACAACCCACACCCCTCCTCTTCGCCCCCATTCCCTCCCCTTCCCTCCATTCCCCTCCCCTTCCGCCCTTTTCCCTCCCCTTGCCCCCTTTCCCTCCCCTTCCCATTACCAGAACCCTGCACGAATCCGACACACCAGCGCGAGGCATGCTAACACGGGCGCATTTCTTCTTCCTCATAACAGCGCTCTCCTTCTGCTGGTACCTCGTGCCCGGCTACCTCATCCCCATCGTCTCCTGCCTCTCCTGGGTCTGCTGGGTCTGGCCCTCCTCCGTAACAGCCCAGCAACTCGGCTCAGGTGGGTGCTTAGCCTTCGTTCCCCTTCCCCCACCCTCCTTCCCCCTCCCCCCTTCCTCTCCCTACCCGTTTCCTCCCCTCTCCTGGGTCTGCTGGCTCTAGCCTTCCTCCATCACTGCACAGCAGTTCCGCTTAGGTGGGTGCTTAGCCTTCCCCCTCCCTCCTCCCGCATGCTCGTTCCCTCCCCCTCTTCCCCCACTCACTGATCTCACTTCTCCCCCTCCCAACTGTGTGCTTTCCCAAACCCCATCAATATTGCCTGTTTTGCCCCTCCCTGCCCCTGTATCCCCTCATACCCTCCCCCCTTGCTTCCCACCGCAAACCCCTCCTTCCTCCGCTCCCGACCTCTTGTTTCTCCTCTCGTCCGTTGCCTTCCCCTCCCTTCCCTCCCCCCTCTCACCCTCTCACACCCTTCCGTTCCCACCCTCTCACACCCTTCCATTTCCACCCTCTCACACCCTTCCGTTCCCACCCTCTCACACCCCCCTATTTCTCCCTTCACCCCTCCATGTCTGAGGGGCATGGGCATTGCCGCTGTCACTCCCAATTGGGCCACCATCTCTGCCTTTATCTCTCACGCCCTCCAACCACTCTCAAGATTACTCCCCCTCCCATCCCCTCTCTCCCCAACCCCCCCCTCCCCTCTTCCCCAGGTCTGAGGGGCATGGGTCTGGGTGCCATCACTCTCGACTCGGCAACAGTATCCGCCTTCCGCTCTCACGACTTCCCTCCCACTGCTCCCAACTCAACCTCATCCTCGCCCCTCCCACTCCTAAGATCACTCCACACCCCCCTTTTTCTCTTTCCCCTCCCCTTCCCAACCAGGTCTGAGGGGCATGGGTCTGGGTGCCATCACTCTCGACTCGGCAACAGTATCCGCCTTCCGCTCTCACGACTTCCCTCCCACTGCTCCCAACTCAACCTCATCCTCGCCCCTCCCACTCCTAAGATCACTCCACACCCCCCTTTTTCTCTTTCCCCTCCCCTTCCCAACCAGGTCTGAGGGGCATGGGTCTGGGTGCCATCACTCTCGACTCGGCAACAGTATCCGCCTTCCGCTCTCACGACTTCCCTCCCACTGCTCCCAACTCAACCTCATCCTCGCCCCTCCCACTCCTAAGATCACTCCACACCCCCCTTTTTCTCTTTCCCCTCCCCTTCCCAACCAGGTCTGAGGGGCATGGGTCTGGGTGCCATCACTCTCGACTCGGCAACAGTATCCGCCTTCCGCTCTCACGACTTCCCTCCCACTGCTCCCAACTCAACCTCATCCTCGCCCCTCCCACGCCTAAGATCACTCCACACCCCCCTTTTTCTCTTTCCCCTCCCCTTCCCAACCAGGTCTGAGGGGCATGGGTCTGGGTGCCATCACTCTCGACTCGGCAACAGTATCCGCCTTCCGCTCTCACGACTTCCCTCCCACTGCTCCCAACTCAACCTCATCCTCGCCCCTCCCACTCCTAAGATCACTCCACACCCCCCTTTTTCTCTTTTCCCTCCCCTTCCCAACCAGGTCTGAGGGGCATGGGTCTGGGTGCCATCACTCTCGACTCGGCAACAGTATCCGCCTTCCGCTCTCACGACTTCCCTCCCACTGCTCCCAACTCAACCTCATCCTCGCCCCTCCCACTCCTAAGATCACTCCACACCCCCCTTTTTCTCTTTCCCCTCCCCTTCCCAACCAGGTCTGAGGGGCATGGGTCTGGGTGCCATCACTCTCGACTCGGCAACAGTATCCGCCTTCCGCTCTCACGACTTCCCTCCCACTGCTCCCAACTCAACCTCATCCTCGCCCCTCCCACTCCTAAGATCACTCCACACCCCCCTTTTTCTCTTTCCCCTCCCCTTCCCAACCAGGTCTGAGGGGCATGGGTCTGGGTGCCATCACTCTCGACTCGGCAACAGTATCCGCCTTCCGCTCTCACGACTTCCCTCCCACTGCTCCCAACTCAACCTCATCCTCGCCCCTCCCACTCCTAAGATCACTCCACACCCCCCTTTTTCTCTTTCCCCTCCCCTTCCCAACCAGGTCTGAGGGGCATGGGTCTGGGTGCCATCACTCTCGACTCGGCAACAGTATCCGCCTTCCGCTCTCACGACTTCCCTCCCACTGCTCCCAACTCAACCTCATCCTCGCCCCTCCCACTCCTAAGATCACTCCACACCCCCCTTTTTCTCTTTCCCCTGGTTCGCCATCCTTAACGTCGGAATCGGCTTCGCCCTTTTCGTCTACGTCCTCATCCCCATCTGCTACTGGGGCAACGTTTTCGCCGCCACCCGCTTTCCCTTCCTCTCCTCTGGAACCTACCAGTGGTCGGGGGATCGATACCCGGTGCAGGCGATTATCACGCCGGATTTCCGGCTGAACGAGACGATGTATACGGAGCAGAATCTGGCTCCGTTCATTTCGGTGTTCTTTGCGCTGTGCTACGGGCTGGGGTTTGCCGCGCTGACTGCAACAGTGGTGCATGTGGCGCTGTGGTACGGGCCGGAGATTTATCAACGGACGATGAGTGCCGGTGGGTGCGGATGGGTGCGGTGTGTGTGATGTGGTATACACAGGAGGTATGCAAGGTTCACTGTTTACCAGTGGACGACAAGGGCGGGTGACGTGAACGGCTAGGTGGTTGAAGGGTTGGGTGGGTAATGATTGAAGATGAATCAACGTCATTTGACGGACAGATGGTGCTCTGTTGTGACATGGCCCGGAAATTTGCCAGCGGACGATGAGTGCCGGTGGGTGGGTGAACGGCTGTGTGTGGTGCGGTGCGGTGGTGTGGTATGTTCGAGTGGTATAGAAGGTCCACCAGTGGAATATGGATGCTAGTGTTGTGGGTGCGGGGCTGGGTGACTGTCGGGATATCTGTCTGTGTGATGTCATGCACTTACGAGACACGTCTTACAATGCCCTCTTCCCCGTCTCCCCGTTTCCCCCTCTCTCAGCAACGGAGGTGAAACCAGACGTGCACACTCGTCTCATGAGGCGCTACCCCAAGGTGCCCTGGTGGTGGTTCCTGCTGCTCCTCCTCGCCAACATCGCAGTCTGCATCGCCTTCCTTGAGCTCAACGCCTACTTCCAGCTGCCCTGGTGGGGCCTGCTGCTCTCCGCTGCTCTCTCCCTCTTCTTCACCCTGCCCATCGGCATAGTCACCGCCACAACCAATCAGCAGCCGGGGCTCAATATAATCACGGAGATGATCTGGGGGTATATTCGGCCTGGGGAGCCGATAGGGAACGTGTGTTTCAAGACGTATGGGTACATCAGTATGACGCAGGCCATTGCCTTCTTGCAGGATTTCAAGCTCGGGCATTACATGAAGGTGGGCAAATTCTCGATTATTTTTTGCGGTGTTTGTTTGTTTGCTTTTGTTTCAGCTAAAACAGTTGTTGAATATTTGCAGATTCTCCCAGTTCGCGACACACTTTCTTCGTTCTCACACACTGCATCTGCCCAATGGAGCTGCAACTGTCGCTCTAATCTAATTTCTCCCACTCTGCCCACTCTCTCTACATGTGCACATGCCTGGTCATTGCATGTGCATGTGTGTGCTGGATGTGTGTGCATGCATGCGTGCCAACGTGCACAGATCCCACCACAAGCCATGTTTGTGGTGCAGGTCTTTGCCACTCTCCTAGCAAGCCTTGTCAATCTCGGCACATCCTGGTGGCTCTACGACACAGTGGAGAATGGGCTCATATGCAAGGTGGGAATGAAATGCAAGGTGGGAATGAAATGCAAGGTGGGAATGAAATGCAAGGTGGGAATGAAGTGCAAGGTGGGAATGAAATGCAAGGTGGGAATGAAATGCAAGGTGGGAATGAAGTGCAAGGTGGGAATGAAGTGCAAGGTGGGAATGAAGTGCAAGGTGGGAATGAAGTGCAAGGTGCAGGCTGATATGCAAGGTGGGAATGAAATGCAAGGTGCAGGCTGATATGCAAGGTGGAAATGAAATGCAAGGTGCAGGCTGATATGCAAGGTAGGTAGGGAGCACTGCCTTGCCTGCTTGCTCTCTTATGAGTCAATCTCGGCACATCCTGGTGGCTCTACGACACAGTGGGGAATGGGCTCATTTGTGAGGTGGGAAGGAAGAAGAAACTTTTATGCCTGCGCTGCTCCCTCTTCTTGGTCCCTTATGAGTCACATCAAACTTCCTGGTGGCTCTACACAGTGGAGAATGGGCTCATCTGCAAGGTGGGAAGGAATAATGAACCCTCTTGCCTGCTCCTTCTCTTGGTCCTCTTTAAGTCAACTCATAGAGTCCTGGCGGCTCTACGACATCGTTGAGAATGGTTTTATTCGCAAGGTGGGGCGGCACAAGGTATCAGGCGCCTCAGAACCGACGTCCTGTCTTGTTTTGAGGCGCTGCAAAAGCAGTGAGCGAATTGCCGGGTATGAAACAGTGGCTCAGCAACACGGTCAAGTCAAGAATGTTCTCGTCTGCAAGGTGGAAAGAAAGTAACTTCCTTGCCTTTCTCCACCTTTGCATGCCACATGCCATGCACTCTCTACCACCCTCTCTTCCAATCGGTCTTCCACTCAACGTCTACTCAGCGTCCATCATCTGGGAATTAATCAGCCTCGAGCGCATGTTGTGTTCCTTGTCGCGCCTTTTTACCCATGCATGGAATTCCTTCCTTTCCCTGCACTCCCCTCTCCGCTCCTCCTCGCTCGTCCCCGTGCTCCCATCCCCACTCGCCTCCCCTAAATCAGATCAACGATGGGAACTTCGCGGAGAATTCCCCATGGACGTGCCTAACAGCCAACGTCTTTTACTCAGCGTCCATCATCTGGGGGCTCATCGAGCCCGTGCGCATGTTATGCTCCCGTTGCTCCCCACCCCAACCAGATCAACCATGAGAACTTCTTGGAGAATTCCCCATGGACGTGCCCCACAGCCAACGTGTTCTATTCCGCGTCAATTATATGGGGGCTGATTGGCCCCGAGCGCACGTTGTGTTCCTTGCCACAGCTTAGGACCCATAACTCAAGGACCATGGTTCCTTTCCCGTCTGCATGCAATCCCCTCCCTACCTTTTTCTGAGCTTCCTCTCTCCCTTCCTCCTCCCTCCTCCCCGTGCTCTCGTCCCCTTTCCCTTAACCAGATTAATGATGAGAACTTCCCAGAAAACTCCCCATGGACGTGCCCGACAGCCAACGTGTTCTATTCAGCGTCCATCATCTGGGGGCTGATCGGCCCCGAGCGCATGTTTGGCCCCTCGGCCTTCTACAACAACCTCAACTGGTGGTTCCTCGGAGGGGCGCTCGCTCCCATCCCCTTCTGGGCCGCGCACAAGATGTGGCCGCGCCAGGTGGTAAGTTGAGTGAGAGGATGCAGACAGATGGTGGGATGGTGCAGGCACATGCCGACTCGATGCAAATAGCGGGTGAGTCAACGCAGACAGATGGTGAGCTGTTCAAGAATTTTGGTGAGCTCTTAGAGGTAGCCAGTGGGTTGGCAAAATCGGTTGGTGGTCCTGTGGTGAACATTGTTCCAGATCACATCCATTTACAGCTGGGCCTTTATGATGGCTTGGCTTCGGGCAGGTGGTGGGATGTTGGGGACAGAGGTTGAGTGAGTTGACGACACAGGTGGCAGTTGCGGATGCTTCTCCGTCACGTATTGAGAGTGGATCTGTGGCCAATTCTAAAGTTGTGAACATCAAAACGTGTGTTAAGACGTGGCTACATACAATGCTAAGCACCTCCTTCAATTGATGCCTGTCCCACTCCCATGTCGCTTCCAGTGGTTGACCAAGGTGCATATCCCAGTGATGCTCACAGGCGTGGGCATGATGCCGCCGGCTTCACCCATCAACTACCTGGGCTGGCTCACCATGGGCTTTATCTTCAACAAGCTCATCTTCACTTACCGAAAGGTGCGGTAACACACCTCTGATTGGTCTACTTTCTAGTAATAACCTTGCAAGTATATTCTCATGACAGCTTGGTTCATTTACCATAATTCGCAGAAAAAGGAGTACGATATACATTTTGAGTGTATCTTTATACCCTCGCTTCTGCTTATGGCACTGGCTCCTCTTTATACCTTTTCAGGATTGGTGGCGTCGCTACAACTACGTGCTGTCTGCAGCACTTGATTCTGGAGTCATGTTCATGGCACTTTTCATATTTTTTGGGGTTCAAGTGGAAACCCCTTCTGTTTCCCTCTCCTGGTGGGGTGCTGGCGTAACATCTTCTGATAACTGTCCGCTGGCTATGTGCGCAACTGATCCCACAGCACTTACGTCAGTAAATTCAGCATGTCCAAATTATGTTGGTAGCTGATGGATTCCTTGTACCATAGGGTTCGTCTGCTTCAATTTCGTTCAAGTCGATTTTTAAACCCCGGTAACACATTCGTACATTCTCAATCCTGAAAGGCCTCTCTGCTCTGGCTGGGAAGCATGTGCTTGCTCGCAGAAGACTCGTGCATTCAACGCATAACACTTCACGCACTGCCGAACAGTCTGTGGAATAACTACTTAACAATGGCCATCAGTTCTTCTACGTGTCCATTTGATTGTTGGTAGCCATCATTTCCCAACCGTCAAACGAAGTCACTTCGACAGCTGGTCCACTGTTGAATAAATATATACTGTTTGATTCCCTTGTTGTTGGGTACGCCCTTGCTGTTATGACAGACTTTCCTCCTTGGGCAAAGGACTCCACAATTGAATTGTCGACCTGAAGTGAAAAATATTTAATATATTAGAAAATGGAGATGCTGGTTGAAGAAAGTATCTCCGCTGTTTACTTACCAAAACTCTAAGCATGAGCCTATCCTCAGATTCCTGCAGCAGAAGCTGACTCCCATATATACTCTTCTCCGCCGTTTCTGACAATGAAGACCTGTACGCATAACGAGTCAGGCTAAGCAAGGCAGGTTCCGAAGTCATCTTTCTTACCTTCTTTGGTCACTGCAGAACCGAACTTGCCATTGACCCAAAGGTCCACCACTGGCGAGCTCGAAATAAATAGATGTTCTTTCTTCCAGATTTGCAGAGGCAAGAACATGGACCCCAAATCGGCCAGCAACTTTTGAAACGGAATTTTTATCCCAACCACAGTCACTCTCAAGAGGGCGGTACTCCGTCGTGATGTTGGGAATGGCAAATACTATCTCCATATCCACCTGCAGTCAAGAATTGTTAATAATCGAACGAACACTCCGTGGAAAGCCTTCAAAGCGTTCCATTACCTGCATGCTTGCAAGGCCGTTGACAAGCTTGTTCATCCCCTCCTGTAGTGTGAGGCCAGCATCATGTACGTGTCTTCCTCGCAAAAGCTTTAACTCCGCTACAGGCTCCATCAACAAGTGCTTTCCTGTTGACCTGTCCAAACTGACAACACGTGGAATCGCTTGGACTGAAGCCCAACCCTTAGATATGTCGTCATTTTGTGAATCGGACTCATTCACCCATCCCCATAAGATACGGCGGTGCGTGGACGGGTCATAAAAGGACTTTGATGCATAGAACTTCCCGTAGTCGTATCGCAGCCCATTTTGGACATCGATTTTCGGATCCACTGGAACCCAAGTTTCATTTGCTTGGCTGTAGGTTCCAATGGCATAGTAATCAAGAAAATCGTCATCAAAGGATGCCTTTAGAACGTGACGGCAAATGTCATCTTCAGAGCACGTATCCAGTCCAGCATTGCCATTCGTAGAAACAGGATATAAATCAGGACACTGCATGAGACGGAGCTCGTTAAATTAACAGATAAACCCGCACATCATACTGGGACCAGAAACACTTACCTCCCACATTCCAGCTCGTCCTGGCGCCGTCCTAACCGTTTGAGGAATCTTCGACCAGTTAGTGAAGTCCTTGCTCTTGTACATGAACACGCAATCGGTCCCATTTTGCCTTGACCCAACAATCATTCGCCACACTCCGTCACTTCCCTTCCATGCGGATGGGTCTCTGAAATCGAATTTGCTAACTCCAGAAGGTGGAACGGCTATGGGATTGTAAGGGCTTTTCACCCATGTTGTGAGGTAAGGATCAGATGCGTTTTCTGGAAAAGCCAGGTTTTGTAGCTGCACATTATCTTTGCTGCTTCCGGTGTACAGGATAGCAGGAGTTCCGTCACTGAGAACCACAGCGGAACCCGACCATGCACCCATCACGTCATACCACTTGTCAGGACTGATGGCCACTGGCAAGTGGGTCCACTGCCAGCGGGAGCATATCAGTCAAGGACGACATAACAGGTATAAAACATGTTGAGCCTGCTTCATACCTGGATCAGGTTGCTTGAAACTGCATGACCCCAGCTTATGTTACCCCACACTGCTCCAAAAGGATTGTACTGGTAGAATAAATGATAGTGTCCCTTGTAGTACATTGGCCCTGAATGAAGACATAATAGTAAGAAACTGACACGGCGCCATAGGTCCCAATAAAGCAGCGCTCACCATTCGGATCTGCAAAGGGACAACGGGGGTTCAGTCATCAAGGACACAATCAGATGTTTACTATAGTCACTGCTTATAGCCACTGATACACTACCATTCATCCAGTTCCCTTCCGGTTGAAAATGGAACGCTGTCCGTCTGTTAGGTATGCTGTGCTTAGGTGATTCATCTCTTGCTGTTTTATAAAAGCTGATAAATCCGCCTACGCAGCCTGCAGAAAATGCGATAAGAAGCAGGAAAAATGTGCAGCATTTATCTATGCGTTCTTTTCTCTCTGAGTGAAGTAGCGGATGGCGAAGCTTTGGGAGGCTTGCCATTTGCAGAGAGCTGTCGGAAACAGCTCGCAGACAGAGGTAGCTGATCGGCAGTTCTCGGTCCGACGGCTGCTGCTGCTGATGAAGCTTTAAGGCTAAATAGGATAAGGCAAGTGCGGGTAAAAGGCACAGCAGGAGCAGAACGAGGTTGGCGAAAGTCGACATTCGTTGCATCTCGTTACGACAGATCCGTTGCGATTACAGCAAACACCTATCATCAGCAAAATAGGTAGATACATAATACAATATCAAACGCCATCAATTGTCTTTAAATAACTAACCAAACAAAATACTTTGGGTACTTTATATGTGGAAAAAAAACATAGGATTAAAGAAAAAACAAGTAATTTTTTTGAGTTGGATAGATTAAGATGATATAGTTATAATTCTAGTGAGGACATCTTGTGTAACAGAAGTTGCACATAGTTGGATAGATTAAGATGACATAGTTATAATTCTAGTGAGGACATCCAAGTATGTTAATGTTTAAGAGCTAGCTGGTATTGTTATAATCATGCTCTCGTCCAGACCTGGTAACGAACAGCTCTAAATTGACGACGATAATTAGCTCAAGTGATTTCAAATTTCAAGTCTTGAATGATCATCAGACACAACTTGGAGACTTGTCCTGCACCTCGTCATTCCCAGTCACAGGTCTTGTGCTTTGTCGATGAGTTTGTTGATCCTGAGAACCATTCAGCGTAGTTCCTCTATAGCAATGGATATGAGTGAAGTCCAATCAAGGCTCCTGTCGCGATCAGTTGAGCCGTCTGACAACTCGAGTGATGTTCTCCTCTTTGATGCTTCCAGATATAGCCGAAAAAACAAGAAAAACCCGACAGTAAAGCGGGCCGAGGAGCTGCTAAGGATGTGCAACTTGAAATTCGAGCCGGGCACTTTCGGCGTGGTATGTAGAGGCGATTATCGCGCGTATCGTCGTGCAGCTTTTACTTGAACGAATTAGAAGCGAACTACAACCTGAGGAAAATTCCCCGCAGTAGCTGTTCTCCGTCAACGTATTGCCTCAGCTGAACCTGCCACTGCATGGACAGGCGATTGGTCATTGTGTGCTGCCGCAAAATCCGTCCCGGTAATCGCAATAATTTCATTGTCCGTCTCAGCCGACTCTCCGAAGTCCGCTCTCAGGCTGTCACGGCTCTTGCGACTCAAAGTGTGCGAGAGCCACATGGCTTGACAAAGCAATTGTTGCCGTTGCTGTGAGAGTGATCGTCCCTATGATCGCTGAAAAAAAGCAACGGCGAATCTTTCTAGCTTCTCTGCCTCACTCCTTCCTTTCCCAACTCCCCATTCTCTACCTCATCCTTCCGTCATTGTCACTCCCTTCCCTCCGCAGGGCGAGGTAGCCAAGGCTGTCATCTGCTTCGACATCGCCTGCCACCTGTACGCATATTACCTTCCCCTACTCTGCAGCGCAACCTCCCGCAGCAGCCTCGCTCCCTCCATGCAGCCGCCCTTCCTGCTGTCCCAACCCTCTAACTCCCTCCCTATCCCTCCCTCCCTCCCTCCCTCCAACCCTCCCTCCCTCCGTCCCTCCCTCCCTCCCTCCCTCCCTCCCTCCCTCCCTGTTCCCTCCTTCCCGCTCTCTATTCCCTCCATCTCACACTCCTACACTCACCAAGCACCCATACAACCTTCCCCTCTCCCCGCCACACCCCTCATTTCTCTTCCTCCCGCCAACTCCCCTTCTCATCCTCTCCCCCACCATCAGCTGCTCCCTCTCATCCACGCCACCCACCCAAGCACGAACGCACAGCCAACTAACCTGGAAGGATACCCATTGTCCACCCGCTTCTCTGCGCTTACTACGCACTCATGATCCACCCACCGCCCCGCGATGCACCAGATAGCCGGCTGACACTGCAGTAGATACTAGCAAGACCTCCTTTAAGCTCCAAATCATGTCTTAACATCCCCCCTGTTCCACTCACTCATGTGCACGGCGAAATGGCTGCGACCTTGACTGCGCTGTCATGCATCCCAATGACCCCATACCATACGTCCCCGGCAGGATGGGCACAACAGCAGTGGATGCGCGCAAGGCAGCCAAGCTGAGCGGCATGTCTCCGCCCGCATACGCCCGGGCACGAGCGGCCATTCAGAACGCTCTAGGCGTCAGGTGAGCGACTTTGCTGGCATCGATTCCAAAGCCACGACGCGTTACAGAGCAGCCACGTAGCGTGGCTCCAAAGCCACCACGCAAGGCCGTCATCGCCCAGGAGTATGTTTACAGCACGGGCACAGGCCCGAGCTGCCATTCAGAGCCCTCCACGCCAGCTATGGTGAGCAGGGGCGTCCATTGTAAGGCCGGCCGCACCCACAGCCGCTCTCACGCTATTCCCTGGGCTGGCGGTTTAATCTTTGAAGTTGAAAAACTTGAGACAGAAGCCAGGTTCACGTACCTCAGAGCTTGCAGTCCTGTCCACCTGCTCCGCCTTGTCAATTGAAACTCGGGTCACAACTAGGTTACGGAAGTCTGTACAACCAGTTTAGGTTGTTCGGGCCCATGCCTGTCCGTAAAAGCTTGTCTCAGTTGCCATTTCTGGCATGTGTGTGCGTCCCTGCATACCTGTCGCCACATGCCTGTCGCCACATACCTGTCACCACATGCCTGTCACCACATACCTGTCACCACATGCCTCTTATCTGTACTCCTTTGTGTGCTGTGTGCAGGTCGCAGTTGAGCCTACCCCAGTTGGCCCTTCAGTTTGGTTGCATGCGAGTGCTGGAGTCTACTCAACGCAACCTCCGCATGTGAGTCAACTCAGTGCAACCTGCGCATGTGAGTCAACTCAGTGCAACCCACACTTGTGAGTCAACTCAGTGCAACCCACACTTGTGAGTCAACTCAGTGCAACCCACCCCACACTTGTGAGTCAACTCAGTGCAACCCACACTTGTGAGTCAACGCAGTGCAACATGCACTTGTGAGTCAACGCAGTGCAACATGCACTTGTGAGTCAACGCAGTGCAACATGCACTTGTGAGTCAACGCAGTGCAACATGCACTTGTGAGTTATCTCAGTACAACCTTCACTTTTAAGTCAACGCGGTGCATCCTACACTTTTAAGGCCAATTAACTCAACTCAACATGCACACGTGAGGAGGGGGAATGGGTGAAGGGAATCGAGCAACGGAGATGTAATGAGCTTGTCAGTGCCGTGTAATGTGACGCAGTGCCGCGGTGTGAGTGAGCCAGCAACAACGAGGCTCTTGTTCACACGAGTGAAACCACGACACGTGTTTCCAAGGTCATTTCGTTTCCCCCGCCGAGCCTCTTTCTCCACCCGGCCCCCTTCCCTCGCTCCTACCCCCTGTTCCCTCCCCTTGCCCCCTCTCCTGCCATCCCTCTGCCCATTCCCCCCTGTCCCCCACCCACTGGACCCTCCCTCCTGTCTCTTCACCCCACCGTCGCTTTGGCATGTCCCTCTCAGCTTCACCTCACGCTTCACAGCCTCCCTCCCAGAGGCTCGGAGGGGCGGCACTGACTTCTCCCGACCGGCGTACATGGCAGCAGCGCTGATGCTCACGGCCACACGCAACCAGGTACGCCATGGGATACTGTTGAGTCCACTCACAACTTTTGAGTCCACTCAGAACTTACTCCATGGCAGCTGCGCTCATGGTCCCTGCCTCATGCAACCAAGTGCCTCATGGGTTTCCCATGTTGTGTTTTGTTGTGCACCAAGAAATATACTTGGTGTAACATTCTATTAGCTGTGTGGTTGTGTGTATGCTCCTACCTGTGCTGCTGTGCAGATGCAGAACATGCAGCATGATGACCCTGCTGCTGCTGCTGCTGCTGCTGCTGCTGCTGCTGCTGCTGCTGTGCTGCTTTGCGTTTTGCATGTGATGACCCAGTGCATAACCATAGCTGTGCGTATGTTTGCCTATGTGCATGAGTGTCTGCATGTCCATGTGCCTGGCATGAGCATGTGTGTTTGTGTGTGCATGTGCGTGTGGATGGCATGTCCGTCTGCATGGCATGTGCATGTGCATGTGTGTCACACACGCTTGGAATGCATGTGTGTCACACACGCTTGCATGTGCATGGGAACATCAAGTGCAGCTGAAGATGGATGTGGACAGGCTGCTGGAAGCCACACGGGTGGGCAAGGACGAGTTTCAGCAGGTACATGCATGATGCATCTCCCATGCACCATTGCCTAATGTGTTCAACTCCGCTTGTGCATTTGAGTGTGCATTCGTCTCTGCCATCTGAGCTGTGTTCAGATTGCACTCACAAGCCCCTGCACGCCGCATCTGTCCCTGATGCAAGCACACCCAAAGCCCTGTGTCACACTTCTGAGGCGCCATTTTAGCTCATTGTGGCTAATCCGCCTTGTGCTACACTAATGAGGGGACCTCTATAGTGCATCGTGGCACAGCCATCATGTGTTCCTGCCGCTATGTGAAGTATGGCATGGCACATGTGGAACATCCATCATTCGTTCCTGCCAATGGGCAGCATGGCATGGCACCTGTGGAACATCCATCGTGTGTTCACACTACAATATGCACCCTCCCTGCGTCATCAGGTGGTGGCGTGCATGGAGGCCCACTGCACAGACTTGTTTGGGTCATCCCACAGCTGTCCCACACCCAGCAAGCCACAGTATCAGTCCCTGCCACGTCAGCACGCACCAGTCCAGCATCAACAACAGCAGCATCAGCAGCATCAAATGCAGCAGCAGCAACAACACGACCGACAGCAGCAGCAGCAGCAGCAGCAACAACAACAGGATCAGCAGAACCAGCAGCGTCGCAATGACGTGCACCAAAGCTTAGATGGCTCCTTCCGTGAGCCAACGTCCAGGGCCTTACGTGATGCAGCGAGAGTAGAAGGTGGCGGGAGAGGTGAAGGCGCAGCAAGTGCAGAAGGGACCCGTGCGGCAGCTGAACGGGATGGATCGCTGCCAGTCAGACATGCCCAGAGGGTGAGTTGCAGAGCATGCCATGGGCTGCATACGATGCGGTGCTTGGTGGTGCATGTCGCACCGTGCATCTACGGGCTTATAACGTGACATGCCTGTTTGTATGGTGTTTGATCTGGTGGTGAATCGCACATGTAATTCTGGTGGCATGCTGCATGGGGCATGGGGAGTGATGGGGCATGGGGAGTGATGGGGCATGGGGAGTGATGGGGCATGGGGAGTGATGGGGCATAGGGAGTGATGGGGCATGGGGAGTGATGGGGCATGGGGAGTGATGGGGCATGGGGAGTGATGGGGCATGGGGAGTGATGGGGCATGGGGAGTGATGGGGCATGGGGAGTGATGGGGCATGGGGAGTGATGGGGCATGGGGAGTGATGGGGCATGGGGAGTGATGGGGCATGGGGAGTGATGGGGCATGGGGAGTGATGGGGCATGGGGAGTGATGGGGCATGGGGAGTGATGGGGCATGGGGAGTGATGGGGCATGGGGAGTGATGGGGCATGGGGAGTGATGGGGCATGGGGAGTGATGGGGCATGGGGAGTGATGGGGCATGGTGAGTGATGGGGCATGGGGAGTGATGGGGCATGGTGAGTGATGGGGCATGGGGAGTGATGGGGCATGGTGAGTGATGGGGCATGGGGAGTGATGGGGCATGGTGAGTGATGGGGCATGGGGAGTGATGGAGTACGGGAAGGAGTCCTGGGGGCATGGGCCGTGTTACTGCAGCATATGCCGCATGGGGTGATGGATGCAATACATGTCACACATGAATGGGAGGCATGGGCATCCACCATCTATGGTGACATCCATGTTGAGCATGTGCAGTGGTTGTGCAAGTGGTAGCTGCATATGATTTCACGCATGTACATTCAGAATCTGGGTTATAGAACAAACACGACTTTCTAGTTTCATGTTCGTTGTACTGCACAGGAACAGTGCACGTCCCATGCTGACGTGGCACACCTGCACCGAAAGCAGCGCCAGCAGCATATCCCCGCCACTGACGTGGCAGAGCAACAGCAGAGTACTACCTCAGCTGACGTGGCACCACAGCAACAGGCTGTTGCCAGCAACAGCAACAACAGCATGCCAGTGCTCCAAGCCAAGCTCACACTTTCAAAGAGAACCTCAGGTATGCAAGATGTGATTTGCTCGAGAAGATCCATATTATAGACACAAATGACATGCCCCTCTCTATGTGCCCCAGTCCCCATATTCTTCCCATCAAATCACCCTCTCGTCCACTCATGCCCAGGAGACAGCGGTGAGTCGATTAATAAGTCTGTCTATCTCATGTTTTTTGTCTCATCAACCCTGTTCATGTCCTCTTGTCCGCTCAGGCCCTTCAGGGAAGCTGTGTCAGGCCAAGCTGCTCTTCAAGCGCGTCAAGACTGCAGCTGCCTAGGAGAAAGTCTCTAGGTAGCACTGCCAGGGCGCATACATGGTTTCTTTCTGTGTTTATTTTTCTTTCTGCATTTTTCATTCGCTCTGTTTTTCGCCTGTCCTCATATGTGCTGCCAAGCTGTTTGTGAAGCTCCTTCAACGAATAATAGAGACAAATATTTTGAAACATTATAACCGTAAAGATATATCTAGTTTTTGTAACCAAACATGCTGATGTGAAAGTGAAGCAAGAGAAGTAGCTTTGCGAGGACGGAATGTGTGTGTCTGGCTGGGCTTGATTCAAAGCAGAAGGAAGGAGTCCAGGCTGACGGAATGGAACGGAATGTACAGTACAGGATGCTCAGCTGTTGCACGCACATTTGGTCTGCCCGTATTCGACAGCCTGCCCAATTGCATTTGGTACCAGCCAGTTGCACGCACGATACAAGCCCCTATTTTGATCTCAGCCGTTGAACACCCACCTTATCACGCTGGCATCCGTCCGTTCGTGAGATATTTTGAGACGCTGGTTACACCTGCCCACTACTGTCCCGATTTTGCCCATGGCGAACGTTGGCAAGTTAGGCGAAATGCTTATTGCTCACTAATCACCCAAATGACGAGAAAAGTTGTGGGTATCCAGCGGGCATCCTGTGTACAGTTTGAAAATAGGCTACACCCTGCACGCGAACTGCGATATCGACCGAGCAATCGCCGCCACCGCCTCACCCTTGCCAACGAACTCTTGTGCTTGACTTCGCGATAGTTTCCTTTCGAGCGAACTTCGCATGTTGCTATGGAACCGCGAGCTGCCGATATTTTTGCCGCTAGTGAAATGCTGCATGGCGAAAGCACTTCACCGCTTCCCGCACCGCATGTCGGCCAATGTTGACGCGCTCCCAGCCATCCTCTCTGCCTCCGTTCGATACAAATACCGTCACCCCCCGGATATACCCCCATGGGGGGGTATAATAAAACATGTTTTTTTGAGGGGGTGGGCTTACAATATAGTAAATTTATAAGCGCCGGCGTTTATGTTTTGTCAAAAAATGAAATTTGTTTTTAAATATACCAAATCGAAGCATTCTCGAAGGCGGATTCACCTGAGTCGAGAACGTTCGAAAATGTGCATGCTTTGCGCGTGAAACGGCCAACAAGGCGTGGCCTCACGCCTTCCACGCCTTGTTGGCCAGGCCAGGTTCATCGAACGTGAACCTGGCCCATGCCAGCGCACACGTACTTCGCATCACAGCGGCCCAATCAGGGTTGCATGCGATCGTGGGCACGTCGTGGTTCAGCCACGACGTGCCCATCAACAGCAAGATTCCCCGCCACCGAGGCAACGAGCTGCCCAGCTCAGCTCCTCTGCGGGGAATCTTGACTGTGGCCACCCTTTTCCCGCAGAGGAGGCCGGGCCGCGAAACCGAAGGGGTCTCGGGCGAGGGCTTCATACGGCCCTCATTCTCAACTTTTTGTTCAGTTTCTTCGTTCGTTTGGCCTGCCGTGGCCTTGGCGGGCCTTCCAGGCACGCATTTCTTGTTCCGCCGCCAACCTGCTGCTAGAGAAAACACCCGCCGAGACACCTGTGACTACTCTCAATGGCAGACGCGCCCTGCGCCCATCCCTCCAACACACCCAGTAGTCCCTCCCGTTCCTCCCACTCCTCCAACGCCTCCTACCCCTCCCGCTCCCCCGGCGCCTCCGGTTCCTCCCGCTCCTCCGTCCCCTCCTGAGCCGCCTGTGTTTGGTGCTCCACGTCAGGGGGTTCTGCAGCTTCTCCTCCCTCCTGGCTACTCGGCGTTTGATGCTTACCTGTCCGAGCCCGACCGCACCGGTGGCGCATCGTCTTCCTCCGCACCGTCGCCACGCTGGGGAACCCCGGCTGATTGCCCGTTGGACGAATCCGCGACTGGTGCGGAGGACGCCGTGGAGTTTTGGGCTGCCGACGGTCTTCCAGAGCACCTGCCTATTCCCACCTTTCCCCCTCCCAATAAGAAACGGCCCCACCCTTCTCGCGAGAATCGCGATGCCCGTCCTCCCTCCCCCAGGCACAAGCCTACAAGTCACAAGCGGCACTCGTACACATTGCAGGAGAAACTGCAGTGGATTCTCAAGCTGGAGTCTGGGCAGATGAGCGTGCGGCAGATGTCTCGCGAAACCGGCATCTCCCGAAGGTCACTCGCAGAATGGAAGACCCGGAAGGTAGAGCTGGAGGGCGCGCATGCTGCTCGCAAGCGTCTTCATGGGCGCGGAAGGAGCTCGTGGTATCGTGACATGGAAGCGGAAGTCTACAAGAGGTTCCTTGCCCACCGTAAAAAATGTCTCGCAGTCTCAATCGCACGCCTGCAGAAGTGGTCGCATGAGGTGATGAAAGAATTGCACCCAGAGGTAAAGTGGTCCGGCTCGCAGCGGTGGACTGAGCGGTTTCGCCGCCGCTGGAATCTGACAACCCGACAGAATACCCGGGTCGGCCAGAAGCTTGCGGCCAGTGAGGTTTTTTTTTTTTTTTTTGGCCGTTCAATGTTTACTGGTTTGTGTTGTTTGTCTCTTAATGTCTGACAGTTGTATCCAACGCGTCACTAATCCTGTGTTCTCTCTTTTCCTCCCATCCATACTCCCAGACTGCGAGACTGATGTCAGGAACTTCTGGAAGTTTGTGCGTCACACCCGCCGCCAATACAAGATCGACCCGCAGTGGATAATAAACGTGGACCAGACTCCACTGTCGCTCGAGATGCCTGCCGAGCGCACAATCGAGGAGGTGGGCCTGCGCTCTGTGCCCATCCGGAGCGGCGGCTATCAGAAGGAGCGAGTTACGGTGATGCTCGCCTGCACTGCCACCGGTGAGAAGCTGAAGCCGTGGATCTTCTTCAAACGGAAGACCCTCCCCAAAGGGGATTTCCCTTCAGGTAAGCATTACCACCCACTGCTGCATGTTTATTGTTTTACTTTATACTGATGTTGTATGTGCGTTTGTGGCTGTGCAGATGTCACGGTGTCCGTCCATCCCAATGGTTGGATGGACGCGGACGGTGTCACCGCGTGGCTCGATGGGGCAGTAAAGCCGTACGTCAACCCCAAGTTTGGAGTGAGGCCCCGCAAAGCGATGCTCGTCCTGGATTCGTACCGCGGGCACCTGACTGCGGAGGTGAAGAAGAAGTTCGGGGAGCTGAACATCGTCCCTGCCGTTATCCCAGCTGGCTGCACCTCGGAGATTCAACCTCTAGACGTCGCGGTGAATCGCTCCTTCAAGGCAGCCGTTCGCCAGCTCTACCAGGAGTGGTTCGAGAGCGAGGGGGTCGACACCCTGACAAAGAAAGGTGAGACAGGCAGGCCATGCGTGTGTTTTTTTATTGCTTTGTAGACCTGGCTGACTTTGATTGTTTAATTTCATGGCAGGCAACATCAAGAAGCCTCCACCCGAGCTAACGCTCAAGTGGATATCAGCGGCTTGGAAGGCCATGCCCAAGGACTTGATTCAACGGGCTTTCCTCACCTGTGGCATCAGTAACGCCCTGGATGGGTCCCAGGACAAGATCTGCTTGCAACACAGGCGCGACGACCTCGAAGGCGAAGAAATTGACATCGACGATGACATTGCAGCAGATGGCTTTTTCTGCAACAACGTAGAGGAACCCGAGTCGGACTCTGAGGCCGACCCAGATGACCCCACCGCAGCTGATGACTAGATTAGATGTAGAAATTGCTGTAGCCTGTGAGGCTCGTAGGTAGACCTATGGTAGTGCTACTGTAATTTCAATAAACCGTAGATAAACTACCGTATGAAGTTGTTTAGGTGAAAGTATAACTAGTTGTATAGGTTAGAAAAACATTATAATGAAAAATAATTAAAAAAAAAGGGGGGGCGGTTATAATGTGTAAGGCAAAGGTTTGCGGCTATAATCCGTAAGACTCTAGGGTATGCGCTTATAATCGAGGAGGGGATATAAGCGCCATATGCCAATTAGAAGCGCCAGGCGCTTATCCTAGGGTGGCGCTTATATCCGGGGGGAGACGGTAGCGTTTCGTGCATAGCCTATCCTTCATCAAATCCATTCGTGCATCCTCGACTCGTCCCTTTCACCTTCATTCAGCTTCAAGTTTGATTCGACAACAGTCCAGCCAGACGCTTCCAGCCTCATTTTTTTGCAACGCCGCGATACCACAATCTCTTAGCGACAATCGTGCGCATATTCACGAAAATGGTCAGCCTTCGATTCATTCTTCTGTTCGGCCTGCTCTGCGTCGTGCTATGCTTCGCAACCGCTCACGCGCAGGCGCAGCCTGCCAAGGCACAAATAAAAGCCGAGCTGCAGAACATGGCGAACGCAATAACCAAGTCTTACCCGCAGTACGCTAAATATGCCAAGGACATCAACAAGTACATCGGCTTGGCATGTAAGATCTTACATCAACATTACTTTCTTATCACAACAGTTGTCCTCGCTCCCTCATTGTTCACACCATCAGAATGATGTTCACTCGCTATCACGCTTACCGATTCTGTACCCGGAAGTTACTTTTCGTTGTGGCGACTGATACTACATTTCGCACATTTACTTCCTGCGTTCGAGTAGTTAAGCACTCTTCACTAGCCTGTAATGATAGTACTCGGATTCGCGCCAGATGCCGAACCGTTTGTTTTTCGTCTTCTCTCCCTCATGCGCCCCCTTGCCCCCCTTCCCTCTCTTCCGATCTCCAGTGAACTCCAAGTACGATTTCACAGCTCTCAGCGATGCAACGCTCCTACTCCCCAGCGACACTGAGGCCCAGGCCCTCGCTAAGAAGGTTCCCGCTAAGAACTCCATGTCGAGAGTAAAGGGAAAGGTGCTTGCACTATCGAGAAAGTTGGGTACAAGTAACAAAACCTATACCCTACATTAGCTACCCCACTAAAGCCTACATTTTATTATGACATAGGCATATAGTTTGACACACCCCCATAGGCAAAGTGGGGGAGAACAAGGGGTCACAAGACCTGTCAAGAAAAGCAAAGCAAGCTCGGGGTGGATCACAACGTCA